AACTTAACCCCACTGTATTCCTTGTGTGTGTGTGTGTGTGTGTGTGTGTGTGTGTGTGTGTGTGTGTGTGTGTGTGTGTGTGTGTGTGTCCAGAGTTAAGGCTGAGATTTTTAGGATTAGCTGTCTGGGTGGCCAAGTGTTCTTGAGTCACATCTCACATAGAGACTCACAAACTGCTAGAAAACATGTGTGTTACACTGTAGAATGCCCTTATTGACACCAGTAAAGAGCTTTCTTTTTCTGCCATTTTCTGCCCTAATTTGTGACTTCCGTCCTTCTCGGTCATTCTTCTCATGAGGATTTCTACTCCTGTCTGTCTGAAAATTAATCTCCACGGTTCCTCTCTTCCTTCCCCCTCCTTTATTTTCCTCTTTCTTAGAACCCCTGAGGTAGGAAGCAGAGCTGGCTTCTGATAACATCGACTTGGAACCATGATACTGTCTGAGTCACAGTTGTTAACCAAGGTTCCTGTCCATTATTTATTTTTTTCACATCTTTAAGAACTGATGCATTTTTATGTGACCAAATATTCACAGAGAAAAAAAAAAAGCACTGAATAAATAACTACGAAAATGTTGGGATTCCATGCAAGTTCAGTCTTTTCTTTCAGGGCAAAATCTCTCAGACATACAAAGACAATATTGATTTGTGGTGCATAAAATCCCCCAACAACATAATCATGTCATGTTGGAGAAAATCCTATTATATTCATGCCGAGCAAGTGTCATCCCCCTTTCTTGGGAAAGTCCAAGAATGCTTGGTGATGAAAATGTAGGGCAGAAATTATCTAATGATAGAGCAGTGATGATTTCTGTCAATATAGTGGTATTTAAGTCATTAAAGTTATATGATTACTATATTTATGTTACACTATGTATTCGTTATTTGTACAGACAGAATTCAACTTATCTATATCACTAAGAAAAGGAGAAATAAGGACAGCAATGAAATTTCCAAACTTTGAGAGACTAAGGAAGTCTGTAAACATTTTTTAGAATTCCTCATCAATGGTTGCAACTGTATACCAAATAGGGTAGTTTAAATTATAGGCAACCTTTTGTCTGGGGCCGACAATCCTCCATGGAAAATATTATGTGCACCAAGCTGGTGTTACTTCCCCCCTGGAGGCATGTTTTTCTGACTTTGTGCTTCAGTGATTCAAGGTGTTACAACTGTCACATATCAATGACTGAAAAAACAAAGAATGCTGACCTCAACCTGGTGCTGGGATTACTTCAGAAGGTAAATGTACCATAAAAACATGGTTTTATGTGTCTACAGTAGAAGATAAACTTTTAGAGAATGCCTGGAAATGAGGCACACCTGGTGACCGGATGACACTTTGGAAGGGCGCACTACAAGAAGACATATGATGCAATAAGACAAAATGTTCACTGCTGTATCTTGAGATGTATTATGTCCATTGTGGGTAATGTTGCAAAAAGTATACACAACATATTTATGGCAGTATAAAAATTTGATGTGGTATTTAACTGAATGTATAAGCTACAATACAGACTTCTCATTGACTGTAATCAATAAAACTATGTTAGTTAAGTAGGCTACTAAACCAAAATTACAGCTGCACCAATTAGTTGATTTATTATTATTAAGTAATTCAAAAGAAAATATACTAGCAACTACACAATTAGATGTACAGTAATTATACAGCAGTTATACATGTAGAGGTACGTAGAGGTTTATATATAGGACTTATTTGCCCAACACTTGCTAAGTAACAGCATGGGTGTACTGGGAATTCAACATACATTATTGCTAATTGTAACAGATGGAAGTCAGGTTTGATAGACAAAAAGTACTTCATCATGCATAGCCTATTTATTTAAGACATAGCTGTAGCACCAGAAAGATTGATTTGTGTCTCGATTTATGTTTCTGAAACTAAATCTGCCAGTCAAACAGACATCTGATGTTAAGTAGTCCTAACATCAGATTGGATGGGTGTAGTTTAGTCCCGTTATATTCATTTTATAGAAATGCATCAGAGAAGAAGAAGAAGAAGAAGGAGAAGGTAGTTTTTGTTTATTGTTTTACAATAGTAGTTTCAAACACTACTTTTCTTGTAAAAAGGCACGTTAAGTTTACGTTAATATCAATAACATGTACTGAAAGAGAGTATACTCAGAGTTTCAAATCATAAACACATAGGGCACATTAGTTTGAAATAATAATCTTCTTTACACAAACCTGCATACACACCAACACACACATGGAGATATGAATAGAAATAAATCTCCTCCAAAACACACACACACACACACACACACACACACACACACAGGTTTGATTTACTGCTACTCACACAGATAGTCCTGTATTGGGAAACCAAGCGGGGTTCCTGTTATCAAGACATGAGGGGTGACCACCAACACTCAGGCGTGAGCAACATACACCACCTGTATGTCTGCAACACCTGCAATAACGTTCAAATCCTAGCAGAATAACTAATAATGTGCTTGTTATTTGTCGGGGAATACAGGTCGGTTGTTGGACTCGTTAATTGTCTTAGACCCCAGATATGGCAACATTCACATGAAGTCATAACAGGGTTCAAATTGCGACATCACCATGGCGACCATCGATGACTAATTTGCGCCAAATAATGGGGAAAATGACACCGAAATGCAAGCACTCTCTCTCTCTCAAAAGTTGCAAATAAAGCACGTTTTGAGTGCTTATTCTGTGCAAAGTATCCTCTTTACTGTGTCGCCTAGCAGCTCAAGGACACAAAATCCGGCTGAGGTCGTGTGACAGGACTCTATCTTAAGAGAAACTTTACTTTTTGGACAGAGAAAAGTCTTCATCAGCACAACCACGTTGAGACTAAGCCCTTAAGAGCTACCAGAGGCCACTTTTGGACGATTATTCGTGATGAAAATGTATTTTTTTTTTGTGGGGGGGGGGGGGGGAGAAAACCGTGTCCACATAGCGCTGTCTTCTGGGGGTTCTCGCCCCATGAGGGCACAGTAATAACTAGTTTAGTCCTGGTGTAAAGCACATTAACATTAGACGGTAACAAAAGCTGACAACATACTCACATTCTCCGTTATCTCGGACGGGCACCCACCGCAGCACGACGACTAACCAACAAGTTGGACTTCGCATAACGGAAATGTGTCGAGAAGCATCTAAAGTAACTCAAAACGACGTCGGCGAGGAGCAAAAGAAACTGGACACCGGAGGAGAAGCTGCGTGACAAAAAGCTCGTAGCTGCCTCTCTCATTGTGAGTGCCCTTGACGGTTCCTCAAAGTAAATGAAAAAAAAAAAGAGGAATGAAAACTTTTAGCCACGAACTTGACGCTGGAAGAGTGGCGACTCCTCATTTCCGTTGTCAAAAATGTGCCGCGGTCCAGCTCCTGCGTCAAGTCAGCGAAAACACGACACGGTGTGTTCCGGCTCTGCTTTTCAAAATAAGAGCTCCATAAGGGCTCATACCGGAAACAATGGTCTGAATTAAGATGACACAGCGTGCTCATATTAAGTACAACATCTTTACCACGAGTGTGATATTACTTTCATAAAACAGTTCCACAATTATAGTATACAACATATAAAAAAATAAATACATAAATTGTTTGGTTGAATTACTATAATTTTTTTATTATAATTTTTTTAATCTGTTTATTTGTTTTCGTTTTATTTATTGTGCTGTGTCTATAGGTTTTATTTTGTGTGTGTATGGGTATGTTATATATATATATATATGTATATATATGTGTGTGTGTGTGTGTACATGTATATCATAATTTCATTCAGTAATTTTGTCTTTGTTTTATATTTTATGTATATTTTTCCTCATCAAGGCAACGGCGATCTGTAAATAGTTTGTATGTTTGATGATGCTGTCTTTGGTTTCTGTCAGTGAAGCTCATGTGTATAAGCATCTTATGTAAAATTTCAATAAAAAGTTGATCACAAAATAAAAAATACATTAAAAATTGATAATGTTTTGCTCCACATAGTAACTATAGTTCCACAACTTATAACTGATAACTGATGCTTCAACATGCACGCATCGTGTTTATTATGTATCTGTCTGCTGTAGATGTCATTTTAGTCAAATTATACTTTTGATCAGTGGTGGAGAGTATGTAACTATTTTAGAGGGAAATGTTTAATCACTCAATCCAACATTTATAAACTTAAGTTTGCCTTCCTTTGCAATTTTGTCACATTATTAGGCCACATACTCGACATTAGGCCAACATGAAGCAGTTTGAATCAGTCACACTTTTATCGAATGATAAAAAAGTGATGCAAAAAGTAGTGCTCCAATCATAAATGAATAAAACACAAGTGACTGTGAAACTGTACATTACATTAAGTAATAATTTCATAGAAATGCACACAATTTGTGATAAGCTAATCAGTATCAAATCCAATAAGTTATCTTAAGCATTTGGTGTTCCATAAAGGCCTCAGTCAAATTGTAAGTAGTTATGTTGGCCTAATTTCTTAACGATAGGTCATGTAAGTAATGATAAGACCTCAAATGTTTTATCCAGTTTTCTTCCTAAACCCAACTAAACAATAATGCCGTCAATAAAACAGAAGTGAAATTCAAAGTAGTTCAAAAACGTTTAGCGGATAGTGCAGTTGAATAACTGAAAAGTGTTAATAAATAAGTCAATATAACCCAAACACTTCTTTTAACCTCTAGCTACAAAAATAACATGATCAACTGCACGACAGTAGGATTTCTATCAGGACTGTTGTATTAGAAAGCAGCTGTTTGTGTAGCTATAATGTGTCTTTTCATTAGTCCTACGTTTAAGGGGTTGAGAGTAGAGCTTAAAGCTGTGGCACAGCGACACCTGGTGACAGAGAGGCTGAACAGCACCAAGAATGTGTGAGTAGAACAGTTTACATTTGAGGTGACCCTCAACTTGATTACAAGCAATACTTGTCTGTAAAATGAATAAAGAAAGGACTTCATTTTAACCCAACAGATATCACAGAAAACGTAACCGCTAACAACTTATTTATATTTTTTTATTGATTTGTTTTCATCTTTATAGTACCATATCAGGACAATGTGTTTATTATTATTGGTCATTTTAAATAATTCTCATATTTGGTACTATAACATTTATTCTTTACCATAATTGTGTAAGTCAATGGATAAAAAGGTTTATTGTGCACTTAGGTTGCATTGTTCATTTGGCACTCCTGAACAAAGATAGATACCATTCTCATTTATGTGATTATTTGACACATTCACGAATTCCTTTCAGTATCACATCAAAAACTAAAGAGCAGAAATGTCATCCTTAATACAATAATTATTTTCTGACTGGAATGAATAAAATTGGCACTGGAATCATCATTTTGGATAAAACGTGTGAAAAACATAGTGCTGTGAAACCGCTGTAACCACAGTGTCATTTCTACAAGCCAAGTGTACACCAGTAATAGTAGCGCTGTGCACTGATGCAGACTGAAGGAACAGAGCCATTGTCAAAAAGCGATTGCAACGACATGAGCCATAGCATGAAAGCAAAACAGCAGAACAGTCACCATAAAAAATAGGAAAAGTCAAAACCCTCCCATCGCTGTAGTAAGGTAACAGTTGCACTTTGATTAAAAGAGTTGTAAAAATAATAAGGCACATTAAAACAAAAGTGTTAAGTTATGATATGATTGGATAAAGATATACAGTGAGTGAAATTGTCCATTTTGCCAAACTGCTGGTGTTAATTTCCAACATGGAATAAACAATATTTAGACACAAACCAGGAGGTTATATATTCACATACATTACAGTAGAGTAGTCTAACACTCATTCTTTATCACTCAGATAAACCAGCTGTAACAAACAAACCAGCTGTATGAAATGCACAACGGCAATTGAAGATGATCCAATTACATCATTTGAAATGAATTATAAGGATAATTAAATCAAGTGTTATGCCCTGTAAAGTCAAGGATGTAAAATACAAGAGTCAATAGAGAAGTAAGTGACAAGCATTCTTATGACATGGCATCATCTGGCCGATGGCTAACAAGAGCTAAAAATACTAGAGTGTTGCTGTGAGCAGGGCATCCAGCTCCCACCACCGTCCCCAGTGACTGTAGAGAGGATGCTCTGACCTTAGCAGCCACGGGGCCCCCCTGGCTGTGCTGTGCCCCAGCGGGAGTATGGAGCAGAAGCTGGACTAATGTTCATCCACAACACTTTGCATCCCTAGAGTATCAGCCCTGTTTCTCTTCAGGTCAATGTATTAAATCAATGTCACAGTTTAAGGTTGTTTAAGCTTGAAAGAATCTCAAAATGCTGTTTTGTTTTTATTAAAGATTGTTATCATCCAACCGCTTCTTGCAATTTCCTGGCTTACCTGCTAAATATAGTAATTTTGTGATTTTTTTTTCTCTCTCTCTCAAAAAAAGGAAAACATTGGACATCATACTGCTAAAGGATTCTCCGTTGCCTCTTTGTTGCCTTTTCCAATGTTTGCTGCAGTCAAGGTGTCACTATATCCACCTATCCACTTTGTGCTATATCTTTAGATTTAAATCTATGTGCCTTATTACATTTGCATACAACACAATCATAATTTCCTCAGGAAAAAATGAACAAAACTTTGTGATTTAAGTGCTTATTGTTTTTTTTCTGATTTTAAAGCTGATTTATAAGAAAACATGACTTTAGATCAAGGTTCTTACAACCTATCTTAATGGTGCACTATGCAGTTTTGGTAGAGAAATGTGAAAATTGGAGAAATGTACAGATTCTGTAATAAATATTTATACCTCCATAAACAAACTGTCCTCAAAGGAGAAGTTGGCCCCTGAAACACTGTTTGAAGAAGTTATGGTGGTGGGCCTGCAACAGTGAAACCGTAACACTCCTGGTAGCTTTTTAGCTCCAAACAGTGTCCAGGGAGCCATTTTTACTTTGAGTAAAGTTTGTGTATTCAGTTCACAAAATATAGCACAATATTCACTTCTCCAATTTTCAAATTTCACTACCAAACCTACATAGAGCACCTTTAAACTGGACGCCAAAGTAATTCCACAAGTATGTTTGGAAGCTAAAAGAGAAGATAAATCTTGAATTAAGTACAGGCAACATAATAATCAAGCAATAAGAAATTATCTGCTACAAGGTCATTCAAAGCCAAACTCTTGGCATCTTGTCATAAACACTGACACATTTCATTAATGACACCGTTTTAAAAACGACTTTCTCATTTCAATTGTACTTGGCATTTAACATTCAGGAAAAACTGTGGCGAAGAAAAGAAAAATCAAGCATATTTTGTGTTTTTTTTATGATGTCTAGGATTGTACAGTAGATAGTATTGATGTTTAAGACGGATTGATTCTCCTGTGCCAGACAAGATCTCAAATCAATCTCCATTTTTCACAATTGGTTATAAGACTGTAATTTGTAAATGACACTCACTTGGGAGTCTGTAATGTTTCAGACTGTTTTAAAAGGAATGATTGAACTGTGGAATAAAAGTGAGGATCCATCTCTGTTAGTTTACTGACTCTGCAGCCACTGCACTCTCAGCTCCTCCACATCTTTCCCGTACCAGTCATGGAGTTTGGAGAAGCAGCCGGTTCCTGGGGAGACGGGGCTTTCCAAAGAAGCTCCTCTTCTTCTGGGTGGAACTGGTGGAGCCCTCGCCCCATCGCCACCATAACCAGTCACAGTGTTATTCCCAGAGTCTCCGAAGGCTTCCCAGGCCACGCACGCTGTCTCAACAAAGCCGTTTGCCAAGGCAGCTTGTGGTTTACTCCATGTGACCCCGTTCTCCTTTGAGCACTCAGAGATGAGCTGCCCCTCATCCTGGAGGCACTTCTGGGCAGAGAAGGGGCCTGATATGGTAGCAGCACTTGATGATGATGACACAGAAGACAGAGATGAGGAAGAGGATGCTCCTGACCTGGAACGTGCCACCTGGTTTCGCCTGGAGGTCTTCGACCTGACCTGCAGGCCTCCAGCTCCAGCCCCAACACAGCTAGATCCTCCAGCCTCCTGGATCTCCTCCAGCTGCCTCTCCAGCTCCTTTACCACTAGCCTCATGTAGTCAAAGCTGGCCCTTGACAACGCTTTCACCCAGGACTCCATGGCCGCTTGGTTCTCAGCAGCCATCTTGTACACCCGCGCTTTCGCACAGTCAAACTTGATGGCGAAGGCGAACTCCTCAGCCGACTCGCACAGCTCCACCGTGCATCCCTCCAGGACGATGACACCAATGGGCTCTTTGCTGTCACGCTCCTCAAAGTAGAAGAGCATGTTGCCCTTGAGGACAAACCAGCGCCGGTGATAAGCTGTGTTGCGCTCACCTTTTTTGAAAAGGAAGCCAGTCTTGTCAGGCGGTGAGTCGCAGGTGGCGTAGTGCGCCACGCTGCGCTCGTTCAGCTTCATCGTTCTTCCTTTTCCTCACCTCAGTAGATTCTATATTAACCTTAAAAAAAAAAAAAGGAAGAAGAAGACAACAGAATATTTCATATTTCATGTTACTTAACTGACATGGACAAATAAAGAAGCAAATGTTTGTTAAACACGCTCAATTTTCCCCTCCCTGTGCGATCATGCAAGTCCTCATACTTCACTTTTATTCAACCAGACATGGTACAGGTGACTTAACTTTGCCAAAGTGGAACAAAAGTAGTATAGTAGAAGTAAAAAAAAAAAAGACCCACTGTAAAGTCATTCCCCATTGCTAATGTAGGCCGGCTGTCAAAGCAAACTTATACAAGAGGAAAAAAAGGTGGAACTTTATGCCATTTCATCACATGATCAGCTGTAAAGCAGAGCTCAGACATTCCCTCTGTATAAGCAACAACTAATCCAAGTTAAATCGATTATAAATTAGTTATTTGGATGAGTACGGCTACACAGTGGTGTAAGTTAATACATTTAAATATTAGTTTTGTTTTTCCAACTTTAACATTTGTGCTTTTTTTTTAAATTATTCAATCACACTTTATCAACACAATCTAACTATCTGCACATTATGGTAAATAAATTACTCACGTTATTATCTCATGTCCGTCATGTCCTCCCATCACATCTGGATCTCATAACTTATAACAAACCTCCTCCCATCGTCCCCCCTTTTTTTTTCTCCCCCCCCCGCTTCGTCTCCAACCAAAAGGCTGAAAAGAGAAAAGATGTTACACACCTATTATCACTCCGCAGACTGCATGTGACGACAACAAGGACTGTGTTTTGGCAGCTTCCATCAAGTCTGAGAGGAAATCTGCCGTGTAAAGAAGTCGTTAGTACACTTGTTTTAAGAGCTGAGTTACAGATGAGTTATTGGTTGTTGTTTTTTTTCCACCTCTACGAGCTATAATCGTGTCTGGACCAGTGATTCAGTCTGGTTGACCAGTGGTCACGATGTGGAGTGACACATCAGCAACTTACGAGAAAATAACCACGACCTCATTTACATTCAAAGTTTTCCTCAACGTGAGAATGCAAATGAACATTTTCTGAAACTTAAGTCTCTGTAAAAAAAAAAAAAAAAAATAGCTTCACGCATCTGCCCACTTTGTTGAATACTAATGTGAATCCAGCGTCAGCGTTTTTCACCAAACCGGCTGTGCACAGGCGAACACAACAAGCAGACACTATGAGGGAATTAAGCTCTCAGTTTATGACATTTCAACGATATTACCTTTAGATAGAGACTCCTTCTCCTGCCGGGCAGATAAATATCTTACTCCTTCTCTTTAACTCTCTTTCTTCCTTCTTTCCCTTTTCCTCCTTTCTTCCATGTCACGTGACGGGTAAGGGAGCGTGCGTGTTGTGTCGTTTGTGGCCACCTTGAGTGGGCGGGGTTATCTTTGCAGCCATGCCGTCGTCACGGCGACACGATTCGATCCGGATGTGCAGTAAAGGAAAACAAGCGCACCCTGTCTTTGCCCTTGGAGAGGTGGCACTTCATACAGCTGCTCCCTGCGGCTACACAGTCTACAGAGGCTACACCTGCATGACCGGATGGATGGACATGCTTATGACTTTTTAGATGATAATTAAGAATTATCAAATAAACATTTGTAAAACATAACGTTACGAGACTCTTTGTTCACTGTACTCACATGCTGCTTCTTATAATGCATATATTTACTTGCAACTAATCACTTATTAATATCAAACACAGCTTTTTATTATTATTATTAGAATAGAACAAAGTACATGCAAATAGGTTGCATTGGCATGTATATAAAATGATGGTACAATGTCTATATGCTACTCAAGTGTTTCTGTAAATTGTGATCCAAATCTTTATTGCAGATGAGTGAATATTGAATGAAGTGTAACTGAACCAGATGGAACTGTAACACATTACTTTATGAAGTTGGTGCAGTTTATGCATATTTGCACGTAGGCCTAGATATACAGCTTGCAGTACATATGAATATATTATATCATAGGGATATGTGGTACGTTCATGCACACCTACATGAGAATTGTACTTCAAGTAAAAGTCAGACAGCACAGTTGACCCTCTCAGCGACTGTAAGTTATTTTATTTTGCAAGCCTGCGACCCCGTCAAAAAAACCAAAAAAAACTGATACTTGACATGAAAAAAAGAATGCTGCTGTATGTTATTTAGGAACTATAATTATGAATTAATTGGCATGTAAGCAACAAGTGTTGGACTTGGTGAAAGAAACTCTAGTTTAACTATTTGTGGAGTGTTTGTCTCGATGAATACTCTATACTTTCTAACACAATAATTATTTTGTTTACCAATTGTAGGTATCAAAAGTAACTGGAACTGAAAAAAAAAAAAACAAGAGGTAAAAAAGTTGTAAGACGGAGAAACTACTTGACATTTAGTCAAGTAATGACTGTAGGATTTAGGTTATTTTATTTTAATTATCCTACATGGCACAACCCAGTTGGCCAAGATAAAATGTAGGCCTGCCCTATGTTTTTATCCTGATGCTTTGATATTTAAAGTATTTGCAGATAGTCTGATTTTTATTTTGAGCATATTTTTCTGCATATTCCTTTAATAAAGCTACACACTGCATACTTAATGTACTGTGAAACCATTGTGCTTACCCCAGCATGCTGGATAATATTGAAAACAGAGAAGCTCTGCACCAATGTCACAGACTTCCTCAATATATCATATTTTTGAAAGGAGATTTTTTTATATTGAATCTGCTGTGGCAGAAAGTGACGGACATCATTTGGACATCATTTTTCCATCTGCAGGATGAACAACAGCATTTTAAAGTCTAAGGTGAAAACTACAGAAACACCACAAAGAGCAAGCGTTTGAGTTCGAGTTCATAATTCTGTTCACCATGGTAACTCAGCTCCTTAATGGTCAAAGAAGTTCATTCAGAGAATTGGATGAATTCCACTAATACATTAATTATATTACAAATGAATGTTTTGTTTCCTTTAATGCTGCTTTGGGGGGAAAAATACATCAGCAATGGTGCCAATTATTAAAAAAAAGTTGTGGTTAATTAGTCATAAAATATTTTGTTTTGGGGCGCCGGTAGCCTAGTGGTTAGTGTGTGCAGCCCATGTACAGAGCTAACAGTCCTCCAAGCGGGCGCCCTGGATTCAAAATCAGACATTTGGTTCCTTTCCTCACATGTCATTCCCCACTCTCACTCTCCCTGATGTCCGCCTCTATCCACTGTCCTCTCTAAATAAAGGCATAAGAAAGCCCAAAGATAAACCTTTAAAAAAAACCAATATAACCTATTTTGTTTTTCTGACTTGCTTACAGCTATCCTGCTCAACCACAGTCTTTTTCTACTTTTCATGCCTTGCTCAAAGGTACCACAGCAAAGACTAAAGCATGTACTTTCCCTATGCAGATGTTCCAGTTCATGGGTTTGATGTTTTGACCTTCCAGTCTCGGTACTCTGTCCTCTTGGCCACCACTGCCCTGTCACTGTAACCCCGTCCTTCATTTTTATAGAATTGAACGGCTGGGTTTAGCCTATGTTAGAATGCCTGACAAGCCACTATGAATTCATTAGAATATCTTATCGAAGGTCTTTAGCACTGCCAGCCAGCTATCTCATCACACTAATCTTCAATTAACCGATGCAGCTGCTGGGGCCACTGAATGTATTTTTCTTTCTGAAAAGTTCGCTCACACCAGCTTTTCGGTATCACTGTGATTAAGGGTGACCATTTGCAGTCCGTTTAATTTCCTGTATGACACCCAGTTCAGAGCAGTGATGTTCTGAAAGATGAATTTTAAGAGCTCTGGTTGTAATAAAACATTCGGAAATAAACACTTACTGAAATGATTGTGCAGCACATAAAATCTACACAGACACACAGACATCAAGTGTTAGGTATTTACTTCTCACAGGTTATTTTCCAACAGTTTGTGGACACACAACAGAATACCACTGACATTCCAGTCACCTTAAAAACTGATTCTTATTTGATCTAGAGTTTTTTTTTGTTTGTTAATGAATTCAGTTTCTGTGTCCAGTGAGAACAAGGAAGTGGAGTTTACAAGTGTGGTGCCTCCAGTCTGAATGTGGAGAGAGGCTGTGTGTATTTCTTTATTTATTTCTCACCCTTTTATTGATCCAAAAATGCCCTATGGAAATGTGTTCCCCTACATAGATTAATATTCTGCCCTTTATATTTGTTTTTTCTCCATTTGTCATGTTGACTCTGGGTTTGACAAGTGCTTCACTAAAACAATATGACATTTTTCTTATTACCAATTATTCATTGTCCTAAGCAATATTATAAAACTCAGGATATTTGCCAAGTAGTGGCTCCAGAAATAACCTGACCGACATCATTTGAGGAATTAACATGGGATACTTCTTAACTGTGTATCAAGGAGAGCACAGCTACCTGCATGTTGGAGCCTCAAAAAAAGGCAGCCTCTCCACGGAAATGCATAGAAAAACACAGTGATGGCAGGACAAAGTGAAGAGTCAGTCGTGCGTTCATTCAGTTCCATGCCTCTCTGTCTGATAAAGCACAACTAGGTATTTGGTTAACGCCTTTTATCTCCTTCGCTTTACAGTTTCTTTCTCACAACACGGCCCACTCTCAAAGTTCTTGAAAGTGATAATACTCGAGCACTTATTTTTCATCCCTACAAACACCATCCCATGAAATCCCAAAAAGTAAAAGAAAAGAAGGTGCGCGCACAACATGAACATCTTTTGCACACAACACAATATATTGTGCACACGAGGAATTTATGATGTTCTCACAAGTAATAATCTAACTTTTGCGCACAAGATAATTACTTTGTGTACACAAGATATTAACTTGTGCACAGATTTGTCTTATTTTTATTTTTATTTTTGGGACTTCAGGGGCACCATCCCTTTAATATTCAGATAAATAACTCCTCCTGCTATGCCCTGCTGAAAACAAAGTACTTCTAAGGAATGTCAGCTTTCGTCAAGATACCTCAGTTATCCAACACAATATCAAAAATATCATCTCTTTAAATGTTAAAGTCTCTGTATAAAAATGCCTGAAATATAGAGATATCAAACATGTACATATGTGTTTGTATACAAAGAAAATTTGATGCAAATTATTACTTCTTCAATGACCCTTTAAAGCTGTAACTATGCCACTGTACTGTATCTCTGCAAAAAAAAAAAAAAAAAAAAAAAACAATACATAGCTTGCATGTCGCCAGTTGAGCACAAAGATTTTGATGTATGATGGAGATAATGTCTGGACACAGATCAGTGACCACATCACCATTCTTTTCAAACCATTAGTCTTTCAGAAAAAGAAAAAAAAAAAGACTGTTATTGTGCGTATGGCACAATGTATTGTTTTCTCCTTATCTGCAGTCCAGCAGAGCAGCATGTTGCTCCCAGGCAGAGCTGGCGGGCTCTCCAGACACAAACAATTACAATTCTTAAAAGGCAAATTCCATTGGTTGAGTGGAGCTATTGATTTCCATCTGAGTATGCACAGAGCAAAAGACATCAATGAAATACTGGCTGACTTCATTTCACCCCATCCTCTACCTCCACCTAAACGTGCCTCTTTACTTTTGATGATAGGGTTTCAGCAGCATTCCAATCATTAATTCAATGATTTTTATGAAACAAAAATATCACCTCCACAACTCTTAATATCTCCTAACTGTATGTTCTGACACTTAGTGACTGCCCTTTCTCCTAAACTAGATTCACAGTAACATTGCTCCTGCACACTAAAGCACTCAGCGCTCAAAGTCAAAATAGGAATTTGTTTGGATGATCTCCTGGTGGCTGAGAGTTATTTATGCTTTGTGTAAAAAAATAAATAAAAAAAGGTGGATGATTGGCCTCCGCTCCGGGTCCTCCCACCTCAAATCAACCAGGGCCGAAAGGTGTATGAAACAAGCGTCCCTTCTCTTGTATCTCAATGGGCCCTGCAGAGGAAAAAGAGGAAGAACATAAGTTTGAGAATCTGAATGACAGAGGAGAAAAAAAACTGAAACAGCACAGTGAGGTGATTTTTACTGAGCAAAATCAAAAACATATAGGTATCATTGCACACAGAAAACCATCCAGATACTTTTACACAAGTCATGAAACAGGGCTGAACAGTCTGACCCTTTATCCTCTATGGGTTAAATAAAAAACATCTCAGAACCTCGAGTCCCTCCTTAAACAGCTGCCATCTTTTCAGTCAGGTCTGGACTGGAGTGGTTCAATGAGCAGAAGACCCCATCTGGGCCGCCGTGGCTCTTAATGTACAAATCCAGTTGTGAGTTGTTGAGTTGTGTACCTTCCCTGTGTAAGGTGCAGCTGATGCCTCTAACTTTAAACTCCAAACAAGCATGAAATCTTCAGATTAAGTTTGCTTCACCCCAAAAAGCATGCCAAGTTTCACTGAGCAGTCTCCCCACACACATGGCTGCATGCCTTCTTACACTCGCATACACATTTAAAAACATGCACGTTTTCCCCTTTTACATTAAAATGTATGCGTCTGAGCGTGCACACACACATTATGCCAAGAACATACACACACACATGCCCACACACTTTCCCACATCATGACTTTGCCTGAGTCACAGATAAAGAGGACAAGCCAGTATCCATGCCCAGTGAGCACCAGATCTACTTTTGAATGCTCTGATGTTTGGGAATGTAGGTCATATCTATTTTGTATTCTAATGAACTTAGCATACAATATCTCCATTACAGATGTAATGCCTCTGGCACGGGACGCCACAGTTATTTGGCTTTTGTTTTGTTTAATGCTCTCCCTGTAACGTTGTCATTTTCAATGATCATAATGAAAGTTAGTGGATTGAGGGAAACCAAAATTAAATTAAATGATGCATGCAGAATGGGGATGAGTAAATAGACAACTGTGTCTTTTGGCAGACTATCATCACCAACAATCAGACTGAGGAACAACAGCTAATTAATATTCACTGACAAAATGTGTGTCTCACTCTGACACATTTATCAAGGTTTTATTGCACGCCGTGCACTTGCCAGGTTGGGAAATGGGATTAAGACAATACAGTCAGGAGAAGCACTATTAGCACACACATGAGTATTGTGTTATAATAGGACAACAAATCAGAGCAACAGGTTTACATTTACAAACTATCAATCACTCCAAGTATTCAGCTCGGGGAGGTTTAGAATTAATTATGGAAGCAGCAGGTTTCCTTATTAACCCAATGAAATGAGGTGTCGCATGAGTGACGTCAGTCAAAACGTAAAACACTAAAGCTTTAAATCGAGACGCTGCACACACAATCACACATCAGCAGGTGCATAACAAACAGGTGTAGATTTTTATCGCTCCCAGAAGGTCGTTTGTGATTCAAAGGTAAGAAGTGACAGATGCTGGAGATCCGGAAAGAAAAACAAGACAGTGATAGATCAAAGATACGAATGGAAACGTTGCCAAAGGTGTTTGGTGTACGTGTCAGATGTGTTTTATTAATAGAAACCCCACCCACATGTACATAGAGATACATGTGCACGGAGCGATTGTTATGCATACAGCTGCTGCCGAGTGGGAGTTAAGCATCATCCGAAAGGGAGGGGAAGAGAAAGAAATTAAGATAGGGTGAGAGAGTGCAAGTCATAGGGAGCAGGACAGGAAGAGAGGGAGAGAGAGAGAGAGAGAGAGGGAGGTGGGCTCTGAACTAGAGCTTTGAGCTGTAGGGAGTAGGTCAGTACAATTGAGTCAGTTCTGACTCATGATGGAGGCGGTGAAGATCCACCTCCTCCCTGCCCATTACAACTTTATTCTGCAGCCTGGAGCCCTGGAGCTCAGATAGCCATTACCAAAACAGAGAAGAACTCCTACACCCTGTGGTCAGAGGAGCGCTGAACAATCAGATAACAAGTCATGGATTTAACAAACAAATACCCCTGTATCCACATCACAGGGGCACATTTTCACAGTGTGATTTTGTCAGCCTGGGCAAATGTCAAAATTGTTCTTCCACTTCTCACCGTGGGCACCGGAAATGCACACACATCAATGTGTTCTTTTGTCGAATAACCCTCTCCACACATTAGAGACGGCTGATAAATAGTTTAAACTTCTTTGACCTTGTTAAGATTAAGAAGGATGTGACAGAATGTGACTTGACATTTATTGTTTGAGCGCAACAATACCTGTCACGAATAGAGCTTGAATCGTTAATACTTTTATTATGTACCAGCAGTAATGTGTCTTCAAAATATGAAATATGCAATATATGCCCATTTACAGCTGGCAATGTCTGATCCTTCTGGTAAGATTAGACATTTTCCAGATTCTTTTTTTCAAGGCTTTTTAAAAAGAAAGAAGTTGAAAAGTGTGGGTGGAGAGAGTTGGGTAGGGTGGGGAGAGTGGGGAGGACATGTTGTAAAGGGCCAACACAATGCTGTGATGAGGAAGTAGCCTCTATATACTGTCGGTCCTAGCTCTGGCAACTCTGCTTAATGTTCCTGAGTAAGAACATCTTTTATGAAGTAAAAGTTCTAGTACAGCTGCTTCTGTTCAGGTCCTCTGGCATTTTTTTCATGAATGCCTCTAAAGGTTGGAAAGAGGAAATGTAAACACAGCTCTGATAGCTCAGAAAGTGCAGAGTGAGATTTTCTGGCACAACTTAACCAAATATCAAGATGCATGGAGAGTGAAGGCTTGACAAGGTCAAAAAGCTCCAGCAATAATTGCAGTATGAAGATTATTAACTTTTATTTGATCCGACGCGTATCGGCATGTGTCACCCTGATTTCAAAGCTTTTAAATCAACGTTGGTTCTCGTAGCCTGTGTTGTAACCTGTGTACATCATAAAGGTGTTTTTTTTTTGTTGTTGTTGTTGTGTGTTTTAGATTTACTGTTGTGGTGGCTGGTGAACGAAAGCCATTAAAATGATTCTTACAGACGACAAATCTAACAGTCCGGAGGGGATTATTTTTTAATAAAAACAGACAAAAAAGAGCACAGTGATGTTTGTACGAAGAAACAAAGAGGGGATCTTACTGTATGTGTTTGATCTTATTTTTCCGAAGACCTCAAAAGCTATGCTAAAAAAATAAACGACATGAATATGCAAAGGGGAGAAAAAAAAAAGAGTGAATGCCTTTACTTTTCAATGTGCTCACTTAATCAAACAATGCCACTGTGTCAATGTCCTCGGTCGATTGCATAGTGCACTACAGCAAAAGCCCTTATAAGCTGCGTCTATCGATGATACTGGCTGCACTCCATTCTGCTCAGGCTGAGTGTGTTTGTGTTTATGTGAGAGAGAGAGAGAGAGAAAGAGAGCGAGAGTGTGTATGTGATCATGCTGCTGTCAGACTCCATTGGATTCATTAATACACAGTAAATACAGGAATGTTCTACACTGAAAGCAATCATCTTGGGGACAAACCATGCAGCCCCAAAAAGCAAGAAACACAATACAGTCAAATCAGCTTCAGTCTCCACCGCATTACAGTTCCTCTGTCTCTGCTTTCCTGCATCGTCCTCTTGTCCCCCCCCCCTCTCTCTTCTCTGAGCTCCTAACTCTCTTCTCATTTTTCTCATGGCTGAATATCCGCTGATCCCTAATCCAGACGCCGATTTTAGATGCATAAGGCCAGCAAGGTCATCCATTGGATTTAGTCATAAGTGAGTGCTATTTTATACCCTCATTTTCTCAGCCTGAACCTCTAAGCTTCTCATCCCAACAACGCTAAATACACACACACACACACACACAAAAAATATATATATTCTCCATTTTTATTCCCTGTTTTTATCCCAGAAAAAGGGTGCAGTAACAGAAGCAGCAGCAGCAGCAGCAGCAGCAGCAGCAGCTCACAGCTTTAAAAGCTAGTGTTGGTACAAAGCTATCTGAAGCAGTACTGTTATCTTTGGTAGTCTCATGCAGCTAATTAAGGGCATAGCTGGGAGGAAGGTGCTACTATTCTCATTTTACTCCAGGGTATGCTGTCTCCCCAAGTCTGCCAAACTGACATGTGCTTTTACACACACCTATGAATGCACAAACGCAGACACGTGCACAGAAGCACGCATACAAGTAATTGCAGATTCTTGGACACGCATTTCAAATATACTCCCAGACGTAGTTTGAAATTTGCGGTCGCACGAACAGAGGACACAGCTTTTATTACATGTGCCGCTTAATAAGAGCCAATGAAGTGGAGACTACAACTTCTCACATATACTGAGCAGGTGTGACATTTCACTGATTTACAGCCATCCTAAGGAAATAAAGACTTACATTACATTACTGCCTAAATGATCATCTTACTGTCCGTTTAGTCTCGTCGATGTAACAGTAAATGAAACAGGGGGTTCTACAGAAATGGGAATTGAGTTGGTTTACATGACGTTTATTAGAAATTGAAATATAAAATATTTCAATTAGAAATAGCTGTTTTTTTTTACCTCTGTCAAAATGGCATTTTCTTTTTCAGACTAGACTTCTCGCTCTCTGCCGACACCGGCACTCTTCTCTCATTTTTCATTCTGATTCTTTCACAAGTCAGCTAAGTGGGACTGATGAAGGAAGACTAAGTACGAACCCACTTGACAATCTCTTGACCCTAATTGTTCATCTTGACAAGATAACCGTGTCACAATGTGTCTGCAGTGACTTGATTCATGCAAATGTGTTAGTGTTGGGAGAGCTACTCTTGAAGATGTAGGTGTCAGTGTATGGGGGGAGATCTTTAGGGCTTTTGATGAAATCTGAGGGAAGCGGGTTTTCTTGTTTCATCCAGAAGGACATGAATAAATTAGAGGCTACGCTGAAAGAATTTCCGAAATTTGAAACTCGTTAGCACCGCGAGCTGCCAGACAGGCACATACGATTTAGTGTGTCGTCAGCAGTCTCTCTGGAACTTTTTTAGGTCCCCAAACATTTTCCCGTGAATGCTCACTGCCAACATCACACTCTGAACACATACGCCTGCTAATGCGTCCTCAAATATAAACACATGCGTACACCCAGTACACAAACAAACTATCCACACATACTCACAAATATGCGTCAGGACACACATGGAAATGCTCCACTTCATCCTCCCTTGCCCTACATGAGAAACACACTCATATACACACAAACACTTACCGCTTCTTCTCGATCTCCCTGTGTTCTTCTCAGTGCCCGCTGCGATGGCTTTGTCTCTGTTTCATTCTTTTTTATCCATCCTTTTGTTTCCTATTTTCCAACTCTTCCCCCTCTGTTTGGAAATCCAAAGTTCAGCTGGAGTAGAAAGCACTCATAAAGTGGAAAACACTATGAATGATTCAAAAATGTTTAAGGTAGACGGAACAAGTGGTTCTGCGTCAAACCGTGGTAGTGGTTGATTTACGAAGGATTGTTTTCTGGGGCTTTAGGGAAGGCGGGTGAGGAGGCACACAAGGCAGAGGAGTGTTCGTTGTTGGGGGGAAACTGTGGCTCATTGGGAGGCCCCCGTTTTCCAACATCAGTTCATGAGGAAGAGCGTGAGATGGAGGAGGAGGGGAAGAAGAGCAGCAGTGCACTGGACTGAGCCTCAAGTCGTTGAGCTCGGCCTGTATGTGAAGTTCTGTGTCGTCCACGTCATATTGAAGGTCACAGTCTGGGCAATAGCCGTGGTACTGGACCTTCTCACTAAAACGCACACGTTCCCTTTCACGAGATTCCCTGCCAGGGGCCTTGGGGCATTTGTTCTTTTCGTGGCGCAGAAGAGGCATGGGTCTGGGTAATGTAGGTACAAGACCGACTCAGAGATTCCGTCATTAGAAATGAAACATGGCGTGGAGGAGAATAAATCCCTGTTTGGTTTCAACGGAAAAACGCCGCCATTCCTCATTACAGACCCGGCAGCCTTGGATATATTCCCTGACAACACTAATGTTGGATGAGGCAGATTCTTAATGTTGTGCTCCTCGGCCCTCAGCGGGGTGAGTCTGGGTGGGGGTAGGGGAGGGTGGGGTTTCTTGAGTACAGTCAGGACTGCATGAGGGTGGACCGGGGCCGGGGCGATGGGTGCAGGTAGTTTGAAGATACAGTCATCAGGGAAGAGCTTCATCTTCTCCAGGCTGGAAGCGGTGGTAGTAGTGGTGGTGGAGCTCGAGCTGGAGTTGAGCGTGTCCGTCTTGGAGCTGTCTGTCAGTCCGTCCTCTTCCAGCTGCAGGTCGCCAGTCAGGGTGTCGATGTCATGAACAACCTGGAGACAAGAAGAGGAAATGTTACAGTGACAGCGGAGGTCAGGAAGAATAAACAATCTGCCACGAGGGGAAGAAATATCACCTAAAGCTATGTCAGGCAATGAAAACATTGTGGCAGCAGGCTACTGAGAAAAGAATGATGACCTGGATTAAAACGTGTAGGGCAAAAAGCGGTAGCTGAAAAATACCTTCTTGTAAGGAGCTGATGTCTTTGTTTCATCAAGTGCATATAGACTGAACTGAGGACTCAATTGTATGAAATTTAGGGAAGCTACACTTTGATTTAAGAGTTTGATTAACGAGATTTAAGGTTAAGAGAGATATCTCTATGACAACCAGACCAGGGAGAAAAGAAATATCGCAAAAATTTATGGGAACACCCATGAGCCTGCCAGACTCCTATGAGCCTGCCAGACTCTGATTTAAGTGATATACTACAAGGAAGGAAACCAACCTTATTCTGTAAGCCAAACTGTCAGTGATGTTACAAAAACCAGTGTCAGGAACTGATAAACAATACACCCTCTGCATAAGAGAAGAGAGAGTAGCTGACAAATCAATCACAAGGAGTACAAATCACAATCATATAAAAGCTCAAACTGAATTTGGCTGCATGCTGAAGATTTGAACGACTTCAAATAGAAAAAGGCAGATATGAAAAATAAAGACTGTCAATCTCCTTTTTATAAAAACAGCACAAGTGCTTGTTATATTCCGCAGAAAATGAGGAAGTCGGAGATCAAGAAGAGTCATGCAAATACGGCAAAAGTCAAGTACGACTCAACATTCAGAGAGTGATTCATACAGTATGACACTGACGTGAATGCTATAAGAGGGAAGAGTGAGAAGTTCTTCAGAAAGAGAGCAGGAAACAATTCATCATGGCATGAATGAATTCCAAGAAATAAACCTTGGTATGACAGAGAGGTAAAGAAAAGACATTTTTAAAAGAGCAGCGGATAAGAAACATCTAATCAGAAATCAACTCTGTAAAAAAAAAAAAAAACACCTCATTAAGGAGCAAACACAATCAGTTGCAGCGGTGCAATAATTTACCCTTTGTGCCAGGAGTAAAAAGAGACAGAGCATAAGAAATACACTGTGACAGAGAAATGTGAATATTTCTGGCAAAGCGATGACCCAAACAGAGCTCTGGTTGAGTTTTTTGAATGAATCTGCAAACTTGAACTATAAGGTCATTTGTGAATACAGCTCACTGCAGGTCATAAAATGGATAATAACGGAGTTGCAATAAAGGGAAAATGGAAGAAAAGCTCTGCTCAGTGCCGTGGAATTGACAATGAGATTTTGTCACAGGAATCTGGTTACAAAGATGATATTTAGATCCAAAGATATGTCCTTTGTCTTCCAAGAGGAAATGTGTTTTCACAGCTTGCATAGGCAAATATTAAAGAACTTTTGGAGCAGGAATTTGTTTTGTTTTTCACTGAGCCAAAGGCAGAAAACAAGACTGGAAATAGTTGTAAGGAGACAGCTGAGACAGTACAAAAAGTATGCTGTACTTTGGCATACACTCTCATAGCATGTAAATCAACAAACACACATTATTTCACAGTATGATGCTTACCTGTATTTGATGCATATTCACATAAAAATGCAGCAATCTCAGAGCAAGAAAGGAACGACTACAGAACACATCAGTGGAGAAAGTTACTCTACCATTCATTTATTCTTGCAGTGCTACAACAATATAGCTGAAATAGTTATGATTTCACATTATGTAAAAAATAGCAGAAGCCAAGCAGGGATCTAATTTAATTATTTAAAAAAATAAGTTTAACAAACACAACAGACATAGATCTAAGTTACTCTGCTGGGAAATAATAAGTGATAAAAATGTCCATGTTCTTTCAGCTATTTTGAGAGACCTATCCAAAAACATTCCCTTTGGAGAAGGTTTTCTTCCCAGGGTGGAGTTATTATTGCCTCCATGCCCAGAACTGAAGTGCAGTTGGACATTTTATTACTGGCCGCCTGACTACAGAGGATCCAGCACACAGTGAGCCCAAAGAATGTCGGATATAAGTAGAGCTGAGCATGCCTAAGTCCATTTTTATCATAGCTGAAAAACACTTCCAATAAGAGTGAGAAAAGGTCACCAGAAATGAGAGTGAATGTATTTCGCTTTACAGCTGTCATGAAATAATCATGACATCACAATGTTCTCGTGTTCATTTTCTGAATCGGTGATGGCCTTTTTAATGTATCCTGTACATTAGCCCACCGTAAAACCCCGCACTGCTATCCTCCAAGGGGTTGAAAAGCTTGTCCAAACAGTGTGTGGAGAAAAAAAGGAAGAAATGAAGATGATGGGTGTGGAGAGAAACTGAGAGCGGGGAAGAAGTGACTGGGAAGGTGAGATAAAGCAAAAGATAGAAGGTTTGGGCAGAAAATGCAATGGAGCTAAACTCTCCATCCAGTCTTTAAATGGATAGTTTACTGTGACACACACACACACACACACACACACACACACACACACACACACACACACACACACACACACACACACACACACACACACACACACACGCAAGTTCTATCTGTATCCCAGTGTGCAGCCTCTGCTGTAGGCCAGGCAGCGACAGAGTCGGTGCCAAGCATCTGGGCAGGGTCACTCCTCACAGCCAGGCTCGGTTCCAGCCCTGTCTGTGAGTTATAACAGATAACTGCATTTCAAATGGATTATACCCCAAACACCGGCTTTGATAATGGAACCCCCTTGAGGTATGCGTTTAGTGTGTGCAGCGTCAGAGAAACTGATCCTCTACACAACTTCCTGTAAAAAAGAAAAAAAGAAAAAGGGGGAACATCACAGAAAATCACAATAGGCAGATTACACGTCCTTCATGTTCCCATTAATCTCTGCGGCTCGCTCTGAGACAATGTAAATGGCTGTAAAACACAAAAGAGGTCTAATTCAGATCAAGTTAAGAGACATGGGAGAAAAGAAAGCGTAGAGGCAGAAGAAGACAGATGCTGTGTGGACAACCCATCCATAATGTAAGAACGACCCTGTGAGCAATACTGTAGGTTTTCTGGAGACTGACAGCCTGTCATGTTATGGTGAGAGGTTGAGCACAGCAGGTCAAGTGCCTGGTGTGTGGCTGCGAGAGAAATGTAAAAATAAGAATAGGTAAGACTGCAGGTTAGTACGACTGGGGTGGCAGCAGGGGACTCAGTGATTGGCATGAGAGGAAACACTGATTTTAAGCAGCAACATGCGGTGAAGAAAATATGTCCCCGCACAGAAGCAGAACAATCTGCTGTAAATAAAAAGAAAATAAAAAAAATAAAAACAGGAGGTTTTTCCACATAATCCCAAAATCCTTCAGAGATCCTCCTGACGCCCATTCAACACTCCTGTCTGAGATTTGAATCTGACAGCTCTGAGAGTTTTGATCTTAAGGCTTCCGTGGAGAGAAGGGGGAAAGCCGGCAGACAACAAGAGATAAAGAAAGGATGAAGATGATTGGCTGAGATAAATGCAGACATGTGGCGAAAGACAATGAGAGTTGACGATAAAGAGCGAGCCACCACGAGAGATTGAGAGAGATGAAGAGTGAAGGGGGAAGACAACTGTTCTATTAATTCCAAGCAAACAACAGTCAGCATTTAGATGATGAAACGGGATGCAAAAGTGCTCTCCTGGTTGAACCAACTTGTCCATGAAATATTAATTGTGATTACATTTTTCTCACTTTCACTGAAGCCTGTGTGAGTCAGGGTGAAGAGGCTGTCCTGTCCTTTCACACCCCACATCCTCCTGTGCCAAATGTCTCTCATGTTGGTTGATGATGATCACATATATTAGTGTGCAGGGGAGGTTGCATGGCTATATGTGTGTGACTGAGTGTGACTGAGTGTGTGTGTGTGTGTGTGTGTGTGTGTGTGTGTGTGTGTGTGTGTGTGTGTGTGTGTGTGTGTGTGTCTTTTTCGGGCCCCAGTGAGGTGGGCACATGCCTCCCATGTCTTCTCAGACAAGGTTGCATAGAAAGTGCTAGAAATCACAAAACACGTGTGCCATACGCGCAATGGTGTTTCCTGTTCATTTACCTCTTTGAGCTCTTTGGCTACATCCTTGAGGTCTCCCAGGATGGTTTCCAAATTCTCCACGATTGTCTTGATCTCCTTTTTCACTTGCACTTTGGAGACTACTCCTTCAGCCTCTGCATTTGGTGTCCCTGACATTCTTCAGTTTATGGCACAATCTCGTTTTGCGAAGGACCTAAAGACGAATCCTTTAGTTGCCACGCTGCCACTTTGCCAACGCATTATTTAGTCCTCGGCTCCCTTCACTTTTGCTCCTACATCACGGCCAGGACGGAGTGAAGTGGCGTCGGGCAGCGTTCTGTATCTACCACTAGGCATGCGCAATAGAGCGTAACACAGAAAATAACGCTTATGTCAAGATATTGTATCATACTGTCTCCGTCCACAGGTTTGTGCACCTTACACCCTCATGTCCAAAAACAAACAAAAATGACGTGCCACGAATATCCTTCACGTCCGGGAAGCGCTAAATTCAACATTTTAAGAGAGAGAAATGTTTGACACGTCTGCGTAGAAAATGTGTTGACAAGAGTAAATAAGGTTAAAACGACGGAGAAGAAAAACAGAGTACGGAGGCAGTTATCCAAACCGTGAAACCGCCGGTCGTTATTGTAATGGTCCATAATCCTCTGGCATTGAGAAAATTGAAATACACTCCATTTTTTTCCTTAAATAAACGGTTCTGGTGATGATACACCCCGGAAAGCCGCCAGGTAATGACACCCCAGGGGCACTTTCCTCCCAAAAACACCCCGTCAGTTTCATCCTGTCTCCATCGCAGCCTCCTTGGAGAGTCTGAACCAACGTCCGGCGGGCGCAGAGGATGCGCTCTCTCTCTCTCTCTCTCTCTCTCTCTCTCTCTCTCTCTCTCTCTCTCTCTCTCTCTCTCTCTCTCTCTCTCTCTCTCTCTCTCTCTCGTCGCTATTTCATCACACAGACATGCCGCAGTTGAAGAGGTTTCCCGGGTGTTGGTTTTAAGGTTTGTAGTTGTTGTGTTAAAATAACTAAACAACCTCCCCATTTTGTAAACCTAATAATAGCACTGACTGTAAAACATGAGAATAAGTCCTGCTCCCCAGAGCCTCTACAAAAGATGCAAGGCAAGTTGACTATCTTTCACAGAAGCATATTTACAAAAATGAGTCTAGTATTATTAGCCTTAAGAACCTACAAGAAAATAGCTCAAAATCACTCATTAGGAAAAAAAACATTTAAAACAAATATAGCCTACAAATGGAATCAAGAATTGAATGTAAAACACAACAAAAGATAAACAAGCCAAGTTATGTTGATGTAATAGGAGTCCACAACAGCCTGTACAAAAGTAGAAAGTGTTAACAATTTCTGTTATCTCTGTAAAACTGTTATTATTTTTAGTTGATTAAGAGGATTAAATACACAAATAATGCCACCATTTTTCTTTATAGCTCAGTTATATGCTTTATATTAATTACAAACAAATTAGGCAAGCCAGTAAAAAGCCTATGCTTAAAATTCACAGTGAGACACGGAAAAAAAGAATAATCCTTACTGAAGGAATCAAAGTTATGCTGACATTACATTTGACCACTGCAGATTAAACATTAACTAAATCAAATGATTACAGGCATCTCCAACAAGAAGAGTAAGCCTACTTTAAAAGTGTAAACACAGACCATAAATTAATAAATACTACGAATAAGGTAAGCACATGATGTGTTGGGTAATTAGGGATGATGAGCAAAACACTATAAAAAGAGTTACTCTGCTGCTCGTTTAAACTAAATGAAAACGACAGATATTAGGAGCCGTCATAAACTTTTTTTTTAAAACAGAAAAATAGAAAGTTATGGAAAAAATATCAACGAAAAGAGTCTGCTTATTATCAAACTTATAATAAAGTCTGGGTTTTCTTTCTTTTCTGAGTTCTTGATGCAGCCAAACAGGAAATGTTCCCAGAAGAAAATATGAAAACACAAAAAGATCTCAGTGAAAGCATTTTAGAATTAAATTGGAAAAAAACTGGGAGTAACACTTCTTCGATATGCATTGCTGTGGTCAAAGCAGACTTCTAAATATCATCAGTGATGTAAACAAGGAGCTTCTGGATGGGGAGGGGAGGGGTAATCCTCGTTTCCTTTGTTCTGATTGGTCGATGCTGAGACTGCCCCCCTCACAACTGCGGAAGTGGAACTTGTAGAAGTTCACCCTTGCTGGATGCTGGTGTTGTTCTTTAGCCTCTGTGGTGTTCAGTGTGCAGAAACCAGACAGTAACATTTCACAGGAATGTCTTTGTCTTTCGAGGGAAGAGTCGTGCTTGTCACTGGGGCCGGAGGAGGTAAACTCGCCGTGCAAACATTACGAGACTTTAGCTGAGCTGTCCTTGCTGCTAAACACTAGCTCTGAATGCTAACCTGCAGATTTTGAAAGATCGAGTCAATTTTTACGAACCTGTTGATTGAAATACTTTGTGCACGAGTCTTTCTTGTTGTTATATTAGCAGCTCAGGTGTTAAAAGCAGGGCGTCGGCACTGACGTCACAGCTGTTACAGTAGGTTACGTACATAAACAATCAAGACCAGAGTGCCCTGAACCTTCTGGACACAGTGATACTGTTGATGTACCTATTCAGCACGCAATGCTTTAATTGTAATAGCTACAGTGTTTCTTTGGAAGCACACAAGAGTCAAAGTGCATTCACTGCAATAGTTTTCAGTCATGTGAGTGTGTCAAAGGGCACATCCAACAAATACTCTCTGCAGCTGGTTGATGGCAGAGTTTCATTAAGCTTTTTTTCTAACCTGTCTTTCTTTCTGCAGGCCTTGGCAGAGAGTATGCTTTGGCTTTTGCTGAAAGGGGAGCTGCTGTTATAGGTAAATAAAGGATCTTCATTTTTACAGGAGTCATGTGAACAGGTGTAGTGGATATGATTTGGTTAGTGCATCAGACTTTGGCCCTCAAGATAAAGATAAACTTTACTGAGCCCCATGGGAGACATTTTTTTTTTTGTTACAACAGCTCAAGAAAAAAGGAATATAATTATTAAAAAATAACAAGAAGTTAAAAATCAAACATATGTACATCAGTTAAATAAAGGGAGAAAAAAAATACAATAATAGCCCACATAATGAAATGCTTGCTAAAGAGAATCCTTGAAACGTCATTTTTATTTTGTGTTTTCTTCTCTTTGGAGGTCAGCTATGTTGGTGTCCATATTATTGACATTTGGCCATCAGGATTTCAGATTTTTGTTCTCTGTGCTTCGGACTGAAAATGATTTCAAATTCAAAATTTCAAAATCACAATCCTTTTTTTTTTTTTTTTTAGCAATCCAATACAAGTATCAGTTCCTGTAGAATTGGTTCCTACAGAACTTGCTGCAGACAACATATGAAGAAAAAGCGCATTATGGATCTATTTATATATGACAATAGAGTATGAGTTAATACATACAGATTTTGGCACCTGCATGGCTTACTGTTAGAAATGACTTTGAGTTTTGGGTTCAAGTAGGGATGCACTGATCATATACATGACATGAGCTTGATATTTGCACTATGCACTTTGTTATGACATAATAATGAGGATTGTTACCAGCCTTGCACAATCAATAGTAAATGCAACATCTCAAAATAAACACAAAGTCATTTTCAAATACATTATTTTTGCTTTCAGTCACATTCATTATTTCACAGTGGGTGGCAGGTACACTCCAAGCAATGCGCGGTCTCTTATTCACTTAATGATCAAAATAATCCAATAGATTACATGCAGTGATTCATAAAGACCTTTCATTTAGAGCCATCAAATTGGATCTTGGCATAAGCAGAGCTGAGTTACCAAAACCTTTTATTGGGACAGAAGAAGGTCGACTCATTGCATGCCTAGCTGAATTCAACCTTGATAAATAAATGTCCATTGCATTTACCATATTTTGTTTTTAAACTGCACAGTTGCTGTCATAAAAATTTGCCCTCCTCCCCCAAATAATTTGTTTTTCCTGCTGCCTGGACCCAACGTGCCCTTGAACTCTGACAAGGAAATCAGCTTAGCTAGACTCTTCTCTCTTTACCTAATCAGTTGTGGAGAATTGCAGAACTCACCCCATTATTGCTAATCTTTTTCTTCTTGTTGCAATAAAGTGAATGACCTTGGGGCAGACACTAAAGGGGGCGGAAAGAGTTCTGCAGCTGCTGATAAGGTGGTGGAGGAGATAAAAGCGAAGGGAGGCAAGGCTGTGGCAAACTATGGTGAGAAGTTTGGACTATCGCCTTCTTGTCTGATGTATTCTTTGTTTTCTCTGCGACGTCATTATCTCTCTCTATTTATTTAGTGCTGCTCTCTTTGGGGGTAATTTGTACAACGGTAGACTGAAAATCAATAGTGATTTCTGTCAGCTTGACTGGCTCACTAATAAAGCTGAGAGTGAGTGTTGAAGACAGATGTAACCTACTTCTTTATATTCGTGCATCTCACATATAAATAAACCTTCAATGAGAGCCGTTAGAAATATGTGTTTTGAAGGAAGTTTTGAAAATGGCTGACTTATTAGTGCTAGCGAGCCCTAACAGCGTAACTCTGAAATGCGGTTACTGATCAAATCTCACTACTCATCACAGTGTTGGGCCTCATGAAACTTCCTTATAATGCTTCTCAGCGTCTGAGTTATATAAGTGATATCACGCACGCATTGTCTTCTATGTGCAAATTGAACACTATCAACAACAATCTAGCCAAAAATTAGATCAATAACACATAGAACAGCCTTTTGGGAGACCAGTTAAGAAAAAAAAACATCGCAGAGTTATGACTCATCAGGTGCAATAAGCTCTCAACATATCTATGACTATTGTTTATTTTTACATGCTCCTACAGAGTCTGTAGAAGATGGAGAAAAATTGATCCAAACAGCACTGGATACATTTGGAAGGATTGGTTAGTTCTGTTGAATCTTGCATTGTTACATTATCTTGATGACATGATATTGTTGCTACTCTATGAACAAGTAATTACATTAACTCTGGAACACATTTTTTTTCTAGATGTTGTTGTAAACAATGCTGGGTAAGTCTATTCAGACTTTCTTGTAGTTCCTGAAGTGTCTTTTTGATAACTGTCAGAACATGAATTGTGTAAGAGAATTGTTAAGTCTTGTCACAAAGACATCAGTGATTGAACCCTGCCCTGCTTTTCTTTCTTTGCCAAGGATTCTCCGTGACCGCTCGTTTGCCAGGACGAGTGATTTGGACTGGGGTAATTTTATTCTCTCTGATGTTTACATTCACTTTACTCTCATTAACTCTCACTGTAAAGAGTCTTCCAAATGTGTTCATATTAAATGCCATTGTGGAATGCAGAATGCATTGTGTTTGTTTTCCACGTACCTTATGTCTATAACGACAGATTGTCTGTGTGAGAGTTTGAAAATCCTCCTGGAAGCTGAATCGGCGTCACGTTGCTCTAACGCTCTCTGTCCTCTCTCTTACTCTCCACTTCAGACCTGATTCAGAGAGTTCACTTGAGAGGATCCTTCTTAGTGACTCGAGCCGCCTGGAATCACATGAAAAACCAAAAGTTTGGCAGGTGAGAGCAAGCTATTGACGTAGATAAAACTGTGCCATCCTCCTATTACGGGGGTTGGATTGTTTTTTTTGTTTTTTTTAGAGCAGTATTATTCTCAGCAGACGGACCATTTCTGGCCTCTAATCAATAGGATATCAGTATTCTGTGTGGTGAGTCCCGATTCAGACATCAAATAAAGCACCAAAGATACTCAAAGGGGGTTTTATGTGCCCTACTTTAAGGAGGCTCTTGAGAACAGACACTTGGGGTAATGGGTATATAAAGCATGCCTGCCCTCACATTATCATACTCATATTCTGACTCTGACTCTAGTCACTTGATACCCCTTAATATTTCTCGCTCCAGAAGTTTCAAGGTGTACAATGAAATAATCTGCATACCAGTGAAAGCCCAAGACAGCAAATTGGATTTGATTATGCAAATTAGCACATAATGAAGGGGACTTAGTGAATTTAGTTATGCTGAACTGTTTTAGTGAATCTCTTAAATATGTCAGCACTAAATAAATTGATCAGTCCAAAGAAGCAGCGAATATGCTGCATCTGTGCTGTGCAGTTTTTTTTAAATCTTATCCCCCCCAAGTCTCCACAGCATGAACCAATGATATAACCACTCTCTGAAGTTGATGTTTTTTTGCCATTCATCAGAGAGTCCTCAAACTTCTTGGATGAGAAACATGGAATTGATGCTTTCCATTGACTTTGAGCCGTGATGAGTATGCTGATATGAGCAGATCTGTTTTTTTTTTTTTCAGTCACTTATTAAGTATGGTAAAACATTGTCTACTTGGTGTGCCTTTTGGCCTAGTGGTTATATTGAGCTCTAACCCTCGAAGCAGGAGGCCCTGTTTTGACATGTCAGTCCCCTCTCTCTCCTCCTGATTTCCTACTCTATCCACATTTTCTAAACACAGGTTTATTTACATTTCTGATGTCTGCATGTAGGAGCTGAAATGAGCACCTGCCCCTTGACAGCTGCAACAAGAAGAAATGTGTGTGGTGAAAAGGGCCTATTGAGGTTTGCACGCGTTGAATTATAATTTGCAGAAGTAGGTCACATGACGTGCTTTACGCCCATGTTACTGCAGGTAACAGATGCCCTTCCTAAGAGCACACGAGGGGCTCGACGTGAATGGAAGAGGACAGTAGTTCCTTTTTCTCTGAAAAAGGCCGGTTTTCCTGTTGGGTGTTTTTATTGTAACATACATAGTCTTTCCACTAATCATTGTGAGTATCTACTATGATAGTTTTGGTGATGCCTCTTTACTGGCGGTGACTGATCACTGTCACACCACGTCTGTCGAGTTCTCCTGAACACTACATTCCCTGAAGGGATTTTTTATGACATCTGGCACAAACCTACCTTTAGACTCCAGGATGAAATGAAATGATGAAATCAGAATTTAGTGATCATAGGTCCAAGGCCACTGTGGTCTCTTCTAATTTCTTTGGGCCATAACTGTACAATTAATAGACAATTTTTACACACACTTCAAAGGGATAAAATGAGGAAGCAATGAGGTTTTTTAACATAAAGGTCAAAATGTTATTCTGATATCCTGAATGGGAGAGTGGACCAAGTCTTTGGTTCCAGTGTGTTTTCTCTTAACCGATTACAAAAAAAAAAAAGAATCCAATTTTAAGGCTATGAACCACAAGAGTATCCCAAATGCCTTGAAAAACTTAATTTAAATTCATACCAACTCCAGTAAGAGTTATTTCTGACGTCTCTTGGGGTGCTTCCTCCTGTTCTTACTTGAGGAAGGAAGTGAGAGAAAGCAACCAGGACTTAGGTCAGCCATGTGACAACATTTATCCTCAAGTCCAGTGGGCTTTTTATTCCAGTCGAAACCATGCAGGGTTACAGTATGAATTACGCTTCAACCTCGATCCTCGTCTCTCCTACCATCTAGAGGGGGTTAGTCATTAGTATCCCTACCACGTGAGAACAGCTCTACTCGTTGCATACTGGCAGGTTTCAATCTCTGTGGGCAGCCAGCCTAAAAAACAAAGTTGATGATGCATTTAGAGTCAAACCTTGACATAAAGAAATAAGAATTAGTCATATTCATGGAGGCAATCTCCGTAAAACAGACAGGATGGGCATTTAAGTCAAGAATATGAATAAAGCTATGTGAGTGCATGGTGCACAGATAAGGATCCGAATCAGGGCCCAAGTCTGTGTGTTCACTGTTCACCTATATGGCAGCATTTTATCATTTGATGTACAGATTGAAAGATGTTTTATCAGTAGGAATACTTGACAGTGTGAAAGGTTCCTACGGTAACGGTATCATGGACCTTTGTGCACAAAGCTTATTGATTTGTAAACACTCATTCATTGCCGGTCCTCCTGTGGATGTATTGTTGTGCGCTGTGGTATGGATCACTGCTCTCTGATGACCAGTGATTCACCGTGTTTCAGACGTCTTCAACAGTTAATGTAGCGTTTTAACCTCGTTACTTTTGCTTGACTGAATTGAACTGTCTGCGTGAGATTACTTGCAAAAAATGTTATGTGTATGTCTGTGCCTGTTGTGCATACATGCGTTCATTCCAGCATATAGCCTGAGCTCACAGTCGCTCAAATAAATCCACTGTGTGCAGCTCCGCATATGTGAGAAAGCAGTTGTGTGTGTGTGTGTGTGTGTGTGTGTGAATGGGTTAGCATGACTAGCTGCTTACATTTACATACCCCTGTGTGTTTATGCATGTGTGAAAGTGTGTAACGCTTTGTGAGGTCATGAGTATTTGGTGAGGGGCCTTCTGTGTGTCCCATGACTCTGCAGCGAGGTCTGTGACTTACATTTTTTTTTTTTTTTTTTGCCTCGGGTTGTCTTTTGTCCAGAATCATCATGACAGCTTCAGCCGCAGGCATCTATGGTAACTTCGGCCAGGCCAACTACAGCGCTGCCAAGCTGGGCATGCTGGGCCTTTCGAACACCTTGGCCATTGAGGGACGGAAGTACAACATCCACTGCAACACGATTGCTCCTGTGGCTGGGTCACGCCTCACAGAGACCGTCATGCCCCCAGGTAGGCAGAGAGATTAAAAAACATGCTTGATTGCATACAGTCGGTCTGTATAATTCATACAGGGGCGTACTGCTGGGAATATGAGTGCACATGCTTTCACACATGCACGTTTTTTTTTTTTGGGGGGGGGGAGGCAGACGAAAGGAAACAAATAGATTTTCACCACTTATTATTATTATTTTTTTTTTAGAACAGCCGCATAATGTTATGCTCATGTAACGTTGGTTTTCAAAATTTAAGGCGGCAGCACTCCCGTTTGACATGCAAATTTGTCATATAATATTCAAGAACTGTGTTTTTCTTTTTTATGCTGTTTCAACAGCGGTGATGCAATCATGCACCCTGTAAGTGCTTAAAAAGTTTGAATGTCTCAGCTCCCTTGAGTTAAACAGGCAGCTCTGGATCCCTACTTTGACTGTAGGTGTTAGCTGTGCTTTTAAATGTTCACAGAAATGTGAGTAGGCATGCTAATGACACATCTCTATATTTCATGTTCAAAATATTTCTGCAGACAGATGGTAATGTGGCATTTATTGCCCACAGTTAGAAATATGAATAATAGCTTATAAGCAGGGGCATAATGAGTCCAGACAATAAACCTCCAAAACAAACAAATTGTCATTCATATAAAGAGGAACTTTTTAAGCATTTCTTCTTTATTTAAAGGGACCTCATTCACCCAACATAAACATAGTTCATTTTTCCCTAGAAGCCACCAAATCCAGACTCTGAACATTCCTATACATGTTGAGCAGATTGTGCATGCCCTGTGACTGCAGACCAGTTCACCAACGGGGGGCATTAAGTGACGGATTAAAAAGGAAGGGTTTTGTTGTCCTGCCTGTGCTGATCTAACCGTAGCATCTGTCACACTACATGGTGCCAACTGTCACAGGATGACTTCACCTCACTAAATGACTCGGTTCCATATGTTGGCTTTCACTGACTCAGGCTTTTTTTTTTTTCGACAAAAGAAACAGCAGAAAATCATCCTGCTAAACATGGCAGACGGTGCTGAAACAGAATGCCAGTTTCTTTTCCACCACGCTTTGATGATAGAAGAGAAGCGATATTTTCAGCACACATATGGTGCCTGGCGTTAGATTTGTATTAGTTTGTACACGGAATGAAAGTCGTGTTTGTTGTTGGGTAGCTATTTTAAAATGTGTTATTCGTTTTTGCCCTTTCATTTATGTTTTAAAAAAAAATGAAACGATCATTTAAAACTGATTTGGACCTGCACCTATGCTCCATAGCATTCAAAGGTTTTCTGTTTTTTTTAGTATTTGTGCATGTTTAATGGTAGGGGTTAGGGTTAGGGTTGTTCAGCTGAAGATTTTCCAATCAAAGTGAACACATTTGTATGTTAGGACTGAAAAAGCAAAAACTGTTTTTTCGATAAATTAAGAGCAGCATGATTTTCAGTATGTAATTTAAGCATAAAGGTTTTCTAATTTACACTAGTGAAAGAAGGAGTGTTTATGTATTTGATGTCTGTTTGTTCTGTAGTAAGAGGGCAAAAGCTCCAGCCTTGTACCGGTAGTATTTTCTAAATGAGCACAATGAAGAGTCGCAGTGGTGTCATTCTCACGCTACACTAACTACCAAACAGAGACGCTGAAGCAGAAGCACTCCTCCACTGTTTATTGTATAACAGAGGTGCAATAAAAAGAAAGCTCTGCTGTACTTTGTGTATATGTTTGGTTTTTTATTTAGACCTCGTGGCGTCTCTGAAGCCAGAGTACGTTGCTCCCCTGGTCCTCTGGCTCTGTCATGAAGAATGCAAAGAAAATGGAGGACTGTTTGAGGTAAACAGAATAAAAAAAAAAAAAAAAGTTTTCTCAGCACACTGGTTTCAGGTTCTTTTATCATGATGAACCATTTAAATACACAGTTTCCTTAAAGAGACAATGTTATTTTAATCTCTGTTCTCATCTCCTCATATTTCATCTCCTTTCAGGTCGGGGCAGGCTGGATGGGTAAATGTGAGTATTGTGTGTTTTTCTTTAAGGAAATGTCTCTATGCATTTATGATACTCCGCAGCCCCAGGTTCAAAGGTATTCTATGTGTGTAACCCCCCCCCCTCCATCTAACAACCTCTTTATTTGTGTGTGTCCGTGTGTGCAGTGCGCTGGGAGCGCTCTCAGGGCCAAACTGTGAGACAAAAGAACCAACCCATGACTCCTGAGGCTGTCAGGGACCAGTGGGACGCAATATGTGACTTCACAGACGCCACCAAGCCTACGAGTATACAAGGTCAGTAATGTATTTAATGCTTGAATACACACTCGTGTGCATAATAACCTGCGTGAAAACCTCATACATTGATGCATGGGAGCCTAGTGTGGGCACATACACTTACACGCATAAAAAACCACAAAGACGACGTATGTTTCACTCCAGACTTTCTTCTGTAAAAGATGTAAAACTGTTTGTGTTGGATTGGAGAATCCCTCACAGAGACTAAGTGGGTCTGTACCTGTGACTCGTTCATATCAAAATAAAATTCAAAGTCCAGATAAGTTTGTCGATTTATGAAACAAATGATTGAAAAAGATGATGAGGATAATTACGATGATGACGATAATGATAAAGTTGACGGTCAACAGAAAATATACAAACCCAGTTCCCCCCTTTTTGTCTAGTCTCCCGCCACACCAATGCACAGGTAAAATACGGTGAAACCACGCCCACTGCAAATAACCTGAAATTATATCAAACCCATATAAGGAGAAAAACATAACACAGAGGGAGAAATACACATTACAGCTCCTACATTGACTTTAGGATAAAAAGAAAAGGTCAAGTGCTTGTTTCTACATTTTAACGTCATATACACTCTTTTTTCTTTTAAAGATTTATTTTTGGCCATTTTGTGCCTTTTAATGGAGAGATAGGACAGTGGATAGAGTCGGAAATGAGGGCGAGAGAGAGTGGGGAATGACATGCGGGAATGGAGCCACAGGTAGTATGCAAACCCGGGCCGCCCGCCCTGGAGGACCACAGCCTCCTCCACACGGGGCGCGCGCACCAAACACTGCGCCGCCAGGTCATATACAGAGTCTTTCAGTATTGCAGTGATTTACACACATTTCCAGGATTATGCTGTTAAGCCGGCGAAATGTGTACTGATGGCCAGCGAATCTGGTTTCATAGTGAGATTGACATGTAAACATTCTTAATAAGAGCTCTATTATATATAATATATTTAGTATAGTTATAGACATGGGGTAGATAAACAGTAGACATACCTTATATGATCCCAAGCTGGGAGACTTTGGTGTAACAGCAGCATTTCAAGCATCTGAGAAATAATGACGCACTAGCAACTGAAGAAAGAAATAGACATCAATAAATTCTTCTCAGCAGGAATAAACTATTAACTCAAATATAGTAAATCTAAAATTTATATGAATGTGGACATACTTTACAGGGAGTAAGAGGTGTTATAGTGCAGACAGTGTAGTTGTTCATGTTTGAATACTCTGATCAGAGGTGGATATTTCAGAGCGTGTGTCACATGGCTACTTGCTCTGATGTTTAAAGAAAACAGTTTGGAGAAGTTAAAGGTGTGAGTAGAAAGTTTGTAGTGGAGCAGATGGCGGTGTAAACACTTTTTTAGAGTCACACAGTTATGATTTGAAATGAGAGACATAGCACATGTTCAGTGTGGCTGCCATGGATTCACACACTTTGTGCTTTTGTTTAACGGCGAGCTTTTTTTATCTTCAGCCAACGGAGCCCTTTTACTCTCAGCTCATCTGTGTTTACAGCGAGTTTAGTAACAATCTGCACAAACAAGATGCTGTAAGGGGGCCGATCGAGTGAGGAGGATGAATTAAAAAAAGAAAAAGGTGAAGGTACACTCAATGCTGAGCGTGATCAAGCCGTGTTCTGTTCCCAGAAAGGTCTCAAACAAAAAGGTGGTAAACTGTGATGATTATGTCCCTCCGCCTCCTCCGCGCTCTCAGATGTACATTGGAAGACAGGGCCGAGGTGTTAACATTAACTGAACGAGGGGGGGTGGTCCCACAGGGTGCGAGCTGGCCTCATTAGCATGGCTTTGTAGTGCCTCCTCATTTGTAGGTTACAACAGAGACTTGTTGCTCCCTTTTCTTTTTTTTTTACCTGCCTCCCTCTGAGTGTCCCCAATTAGTCATCTGCTCTCCACACTCTCCCTCCTCACTGGTCTGTCATTTTTTTTAAAATTTGTTTAGGCTGAATCTAATTAGGTATTCTTTGCTAGTGTGACCTTCATCTACCTTTCCAGGCAAACAAAAGACCACACAGTGTAGACACAAAATGTGTAAACCACTAATGTAAGAGTAGAGAGCTGGACATGCGGAACTCACTTCCTGCATGGATTTTGAAGCTGCCCTTCAATTACAGAGTCAGTGATGGACAACGATACCCATTTTATTTTTAGGACAGCAGATAGTAACAGGAAATATTGCGAGGATAGATGTAGGGATGACAAGCAGGGAATTTTGAGGGTCAGACTCGAACCTGTAACGACCATGGGGACTGTAGCCTCTACATATAACAACAAGCTCAACCTGCCACATACATTTGAAAGATTTTTTGCTGACTTAGGTATTCGCTTTTCATTTTAGTGTAAGTGTAAAAGATGCTGTGAAACGGAGCTTTGACTTCTTGTGCGACACGACTTGCTTGCGCGTTGGCAAGCTGACATGTCGTAGAGATCAGGAGAACGTATCTTTCCCATATAGCAGCGACTGAAGAATTAGATGCTTCAATTCACTACATTTGCTATGAAAGCGGATGAAGTATCCACATGAAACATAGCAAAGATTCCTTGAAGGAAAGCACTTTCCTCAGCTTTAAATAATTAAATGTGCAGCTTCAGAAAAAAAAAAAAAAAGAGAAGAAAGAGCAGCCTATCATGAAGAAATGAAAGCTAATCATTTTCAATCTGTGCTCACACGGCCTTCACTTCAAAATCAGCACAGTTTTCTGACATATGGTTTCAAAACATAATGCAACTCAGGGTGCCGGTAGTGTGGTGGTTAGTGGGTGTGCCCCTTGTGTACGGAGGCTTTAGTCTGGAGGCTTTAGCCTGGAGGCTTTAGTCCTCCAGGCGGGCGGCCCAGGTTCGAATCCGACCTGTTGCTCCTTTCCTGAATGTCATTCTTCACTCTCTCTCTCTCCCAGATTTCCGACTCTATCCACTCTCCTGTCTCTACAATAAAGGGGAAAAAAAAAATCCCCCCAAAAAAATCTTTAAAAAAAAAAAAAATGATGCAACTTGAACAAAGCTCAAAATGATATGAAAATGAAACACAGCGTTGTTGAGCAAAAAAGTTAGTTATACGGGAAGTAGGTTAAATAGACTTGATGGATGGATTAATAATCCATTGATAAAAGATTAGTCAGACTAGGTCAACATAGTCAGTGGGAAGATGGATGTCCTATTAAATGTCCTGTTTGGTGTTCTTCCCCTCACCGGTCATCTCTTACCTGTTGTGTAGAGTCTCTACAGTCTATGGTGAGTGTGCTGTCTCAAGTGGAGTCTGATGAAGAGGTCGGAGCCAATCCAACAGCTGCTGCAGCGTCCGCAGGGTCCACTTCAGGGATCAATCCTGTGAGTACAAATGGCCATTGATTCTTTTTTTTTCTGACAGTTGTGGAGAAAGTTTGTGCACGTCTTTAAAAAGTCGCAAAAAAATATCGTCCATTGGATTTATAAAAGTCTTAAAGTATCTGTTTGCCTGCTGTGTGACATAACATCAGTTAGAAAATATGTTTGTATTTATCTGAGCGGGGCGGACACTGACAGTTCATGATTTGCACGCTTTAACTAAAAGTGGATTAGTAGGAACAGCTGATTTTTTTTTATGGATGTACGGTGGTTTTACAAGACCTGTAAACACCATCACTGCTGCTTGCTTGAAAGATCACTGACTCGTCACCTTAGATGAACTCAAATGAATGAACTATTCATATTTGGTTAATCTACCCATACACTACAGCAGGGATGGGCAACTTTGGTCACAGCAAGGGGCCGCATTCATTAAATTCTCACTGCCAGGGGGCCAAATTGTAGTATACAAAAACGATAACAGTCGATTATGTCTCAAATTTAACTCAACATATACCAGTGATCAAATATTATTACGGACATATTTCTGGTTTTCATGATTTCATGGCAGATTTTGTCATGTTTTCTTCATGTTTTGATATATAAAAATTGACCTGAGGGCCACATTGAGGGTTGACGAGGGCCTTTACTACAGTATATGCTGCTGCCGGATCAAATCGATATAATTACTTGTGAAATACTTTGCTTTTGGTAATCTGTATTTCCTGCTGCCTGAGGGTTAGAAGCTGAAACTCACCAAACGGACGATGTCGAAGTCACTGTTAGATGTCTCGAGCCTTAGCTGCAGCTTGCTCGAGAGGTACTGAAAAAATATAAATAAATAACTTTAGGCCACTGCTTTTTTTTTAGCATGCTTACATCCTGGTTGTATGATTGTGAAAGTTTGAAAAACAAAAAAGGTGAACTTTGTAAAATCCCTTGAATACTTGTCAGGCTTGCACATACACTGCTCAAAAAAATAAAGGGAACACTTAAACAACACAATGTAACTCCAAGTCAATCACACTTCTGTGAAATCAAACTGTCCACTTAGGAAGCAACACTGATTGACAATCAATTTCACATGCTATTGTGCAAATGGAATAGACAACAGGTGGAAATTATAGGCAATTAGCAAGACACCCCCAATAAAGGAGTGGTTCTGCAGGTGGTGACCACAGACCACAGACCACTTCTCAGTTCCTATGCTTTCTGGCTGATGTTTTGGTTGCTTTTGAATGCTGGCGGTGCTTTCACTCTAGTGGTAGCATGAGACGGAGTCTACAACCCACACAAGTGCCTCAGGTAGTGCAGCTCATACAGGATGGCACATCAATGCGAGCTGTGGCAAGAAGGTTTGCTGTGTCTGTCAGCGTAGTATCCAGAGCATGGAGGCGCTACCAGGAGACAGGCCAGTACATCAGTAGACGCGGAGGAGGCCGTAGGAGAGCAACAACCCAGCAGCAGGACCGCTACCTCCGCCTTTGTGCAAGGAGGAACAGGAGGAGCACTGCCAGAGCCCTGCAAAATGACCTCCAGCAGGCCACAAATGTGCATGTGTCTGCTCAAACGGTCAGAAACAGACTCCATGAGGGTGGTATGAGGGCCCGACGTCCACAGGTGGGGGTTGTGCTTACAGCCCAACACCGTGCAGGACGTTTGCCATTTGCCAGAGAACACCAAGATTGGCAAATTCGCCACTGGCGCCCTGTGCTCTTCACAGATGAAAGCAGGTTCACACTGTCTGGAGACGCCGTGGAGAACGTTCTGCTGCCTGCAACATCCTCCAGCATGACCGGTTTGGCAGTGGGTCAGTAATGGTGTGGGGTGGCATTTCTTTGGGGGGCTGCACAGCCCTCCATGTGCCCAGCAGAGGTAGCCTGACTGCCATTAGGTACCGAGATGAGATCCTCAGACCCCTTGTGAGACCATATGCTGGTGCGGTTGGCCCTGGGTTCTCTCCTAATGCAAGACAATGCTAGACCTCATGTGGCTGGAGTGTGTCAGCAGTTCCTGCAAGACGAAGGCATTGATGCTATGGACTGGCCCGCCTATTCCCCAGACCTGAATCCAATTGAGCACATCTGGGACATCATGTCTCGCTCCATCCACCAACGCCACGTTGCACCACAGACTGTCCAGGAGTTGGCGGATGCTTTAGTCCAGGTCTGGGAGGAGATCCCTCAGGAGACCATCCGCCACCTCATCAGGAGCATGCCCAGGCGTTGTAGGGAGGTCATACAGGCACGTGGAGGCCACACACACACACACTACTGAGCCTCATTTTGACTTGTTTTAAGGATATTACGTCAAAGTTGGATCAGCCCGTAGTGTGTTTTTCCACTTTAATTTTGAGTGTGACTCCAAATCCAGACCTCCATGGGTTAATAAATTTGATTTCCATTGATCATTTTTTTTGTGATTTTGTTGTCAGCACATTCAACTATGTAAAGAACAAAGTATTTAATAAGAATATTTCATTCATTCAGATCTAGGATGTGTTATTTTAGTGTTCCCTTTATTTTTTTGAGCAGTGTATTTATTAGAGCTGAATGGAAAAGATTGATTTTTCTATTAAACATGTTTTTGACCTCAGTACAATTGTCCTCATGTAACCTTTATTTTACCTGCACTGGTTTTCTTACTCACAGTCTCTCCTCTTTTTCCTTTTCTCCTCATTTCTTCTTCAATCTCTTTTCACTTTCCGTGCATCCATGTTTCTCCTTCACCCCATTTGCCTCTCCTCTGTCATTTCTCTGTGTGCGACTGTAGCAGCGACTTCGACGGTTGGTTGATAATGACTTTTCAAAGTGTGGAGCTGCTAAATCTCAGACTGTTTCAAAAAAGGCAACTCATGACTCTTTAATTCCACCACGCTGTATTTAGTCGGGGACATTAATAACCTCCTCAGCGGAGCTTCTACAACATACATGAGTACTTTGCTGTCTCCCGTAAATAAATAAATAAATATGAGATAGGTGCCAGCTCAGATTAGCTTTTAAAAGGCGATGTACAAAAGACGCCGCAGCACAATAGCGGCAGCGATGGCTCCCTTGACGGTTGCTCCTTCACTTCATCGTGTTCCCTATCATTGAATAACAGAAAGTGAACTGGTTGCATTTCACACATGGCTGAGTGGCTTGAATAAAACATTTAGCCACAAGTTTTAGTGTACCGCATTAAATAATTATCCCCAGAAACAGCCTCCATTTTCTGTTAAGCTAGTCGCAGCATGCAGTGGTGAGGTTGAGTCAACAGATTAATCTGCATTTGAAATACTGCTCAAACAGGTGACTGAACCTTCTCCCTGCTGTGTCTGAATCGTACAGTATGTAATAAAAGACACAGCATGTGTCAGTAAGCTAATCAGTAAGAGAGACCTTTGATAGTGTAGATATGGAGAGGTTGAAAACATGAAACATTCTTCAAACAAAGAATCATTTAGTTGGTTTTCTGATTCACAGTATTTGATTCACAGTATTTGATGATGATGTTTGGGCTGTGGCTTAATTGGTAGAGGAAGGTCGAGGGTTTGATCCCCAGCTGAGCAACATGTCCGATGTGTCCTCGGGCAAAACACTTAACCCCGCATTGCGCCCGCTGCTTCGCTGGTGCTGTATGAATGGATTAGTGTGTACTTCCTCTCTGATGTACGTTGTTTTGGATGAAAGCGTCTGCTAAGTGAATTGTAGAATTTGTAGAAGTTCATCAATCACTCGATCTTTATTTGTATAGCACCAATTCACAACAAATGTTATCTCGAGAGGTAAAAGACCTTATTCATTGCTGAATTACAAAAACCCAACGTTAACCCATCATGAGCACTGCAGTTAACAACATTAAGCAAAGTTACTGTGGCAAGAAAAAAACTTCCTCTTAAGAGGCAGAAATCTTGGGCAAAACCAGACTCATGATGAACAGCCATCTGCTGAACCTGCACCGGGCTTGAAAAAAATGGGATAGGGGGAGGTGGGATGAGATGCAGGAAGAAGAATAGGGCCAAATCAACCGTCTTCAAACTGAAGACAATTCGGGAAATTGCAAAATCCTGCAGTTCGTCGAGTGTCCTCTTGAGGCTGGCTCCAGGAGGATGGGAAGTAATGTTTACATCAGTCATGTTTACAGCCTGGTGCAAAAAACTCATTAGGTCTGATTAGTTATTGTAATCACACTGTACGGGGTGTGGATTTAAAAAAATGGCTTTTGAAAACAATACACGTTATCAATAGTTAGGCGCATAGCTGACATGATTGACAGGTGGGTGTGATGTAACAGTTCGTCTTTAAACCCGCCTCTCAGCCTGTCGTTAGGTTGACTGAAAGGCTGAGACAGGATTTCCAGCATGTCGGCTGCCTCTGATGAGCCGCCTGCAGTAACAGATGGCTGACGTCACTCAGGCTCTGTCCATTAATATTTACAGTCTCAGCAAACTAAAAAGAATCAAAGCAAAACGAAACTCATGAGACAATGAAAAAACTCTGAGACGATGATTACCCTTACCCTAACCCGAACTCGTGTGAAGGCGTGCTGCAGGAACGATGACGGGTTGTTGCTTGACACCCAGACGTCGGCATCGCCGCGGTTCCCTCAAAAGAAAAAGCCAATGAGATTTCTTCTCTTGTATTTGGATTATTGACAGACAATATGCTCCATGGCAAACCGGTTTTTCTTGCTTTCATACTTTCACATTTTGTTCTGCAAGATAATTGTCCTTAATGAAAACCACTTTGAGCTTCTGGATGCTGTGAAAGCATTCGCTGAAAGTTGAAAGCCAACATTAGGCTATTGAAGGCAGCACTGTATCAGAGAGGCATGAGTTCGACATCTCCACTTAGCTCCAACTTGTTTTGTTTTCCGTGCGATGACATTTATGATCCATGACAACGTCTCTTTAGACATGTTTTGGCAACTACTCTTTTTTTATTTATTTTTTTCAAGGCTCTTTAAAGCTACAAAATGAATGAGTCGGCTGTTTTCTGACGCCTGTGACGTTAGACTGTTTTTCAGGAATGCAAATAAAAACCAATCAACTACAAACACAACAAAAACGATCGACTTTGAGACGGAGAACCAAAAGTGCAATAATGCTCACACATGAATGGGGTTTTGGGATCCATTCGTACTGCCGGTAGTGACATTATATAACACAGAAGTTAGGCATGATGCAGAACATTGAAATGTGAACAACATTCATTTGACGCATGGGTATAAAAAGGTGCTTTATGCATGATGTTTATTTTGTTGTTAAATGCATCAAAACTGCAGTAATACTCCTCAGTCGACATACATTTCATACACCAGGAATCATACAGAGTCTTTAACTCTAAGTGTATGTGCAGCAGTAACTAGACACTCATTTTTTAAAGTGGTGTAAGACCCCTCCTTGTAGAAAATCCCTCCTGTTGTTCCATCCTGTGAGACGGTTTTATCACTCTCTAGCTAGTAATATCATATTTCAGTACCTAAGATGTTTAATGACCTACACTCCTGGGCCCTGGGTTTCACTGTCTTCTTAACTGTGACTCTGGCAGGGATGTGCATCAGTGCGAGTGTGTGTCGCTCTCTGTGTGCGTTTTGGGCTGTGTTATTGTGTGTCGCTGTGTGTGTGTGTGTGTGTGTGTGTGTGTGTGTTTCTGTCTGGACTGGAGATTTGGAACAGAGTCACAATATAGCCTCAAGACAAACATCACCATTGTGTCCTCAGCTGACTTAGCTTTGTGTGCTCGCGCTTGTGTGCCATCCTGTGTGTAATTTTCTTTTCTTTTTCCAGTACACAGAAATGGGGTGGTCGCTACAGTTGTGTCTTCGTCCTTGTCACTGTATGGTGCGTGTAGTGCTTAAATAAACCAAGCTGTGCTGCTGCTGTGCTGCTGCTGTGCTTGCTAGTTATTTCATGTCATGCACGTCTCACACGTCTAATAATCTCGTTATATAATATCGTTGTATGATGTAATTAGGTGAGTGAAGCAAAAGTATCAGGAACATCTCATTAGCTCTACCTCAGTCAACATCTCTGTCTGCATTCACATGTCTTTGTATGTTAGGCAGTTTCATTCTTTTATGCGAGTCCATGAGAATAGGTACAAGGAATGAATCCACAAAAAAACTGATCAGCAAATATTATGAAAATGACTCCTCAAGCAGCTGTGGCTCAGTGGCAGATTCGGTCGTCTCTTTAACCAGGAAGGTTGAGTGCTAGATCCCCTGATCCTGCAGCCACATGTCCAATGTGAACTTAGGGAAGACACTTGAGCCCAAACTGCTCCCACTGCTTTGTGGGCGGTGTATGAACGGGATTAGTTAAAACTGATGCTCAGTGTGTGAATGGGTAGGTGTGACCTGCGATGTGAAAGTGCACTCAAGTCCATTTAACCATTTTACCATATCATTCGTAAAGTCATTTTTTATGTACAGTATGTATTGCCAGTTTCAGGATTAAAATGATTTTCTTAATTCTTCAGATGTAGCTGATAGTAAAATGAAGCTCTTTGGGTTCCATGGCTGTTATTTGCACAAATAAAGCGTTTGAGCTTTGGGGAAAACAGAAATAGAACATGCAGAGGGACAGAAAAGAACTGAGCTCTTATTTACTAATTGTTGATGTTGGGCAGATGTGTTGATGTAAGCACATCATCACTCCCTGCGTGTCCTTAATAGATAAATAATACTCGGGCTAGTGGAATCTGTGATTACACAGTCTGCTCAATGCCTTGAACAAAAAGGTGCCCAGAGACTGAAACCATTCATTTACCATGGAGCCTCAGTCTCATTTGAGAAACAAAATCTCTTTTGATTGTTTCTCGAATTGAATATTTTTATACCAGTAATTAAGTAGCTGAACTTTAAGCCTTCATGCACAATCACTACTTTTATATGCTAGCTGTGCAGTAACTATAGCTTTAAGCTGTGTCAGTGTGTGAGTATATAATATGAAATACAGAGATTTTAAGAGACACTTCAACTCATGACTCAGTTTATATGTGAAGTCTTGACTACGACTTGAGTACTGAATTTCCTTGGGGACGGTATCGCACTTGAAGTCTTTAATGATCGAGGAAGCTCCACCAGTGGATCTCAGGCCGGGATAAATTAGGCTTTTAAAACATTTACAGCACAACTAAGGCTTCCACCTTCCTGAGTTTTAAAAGGCTTTAGTGTCTTAGTGTACTTAACACTTGATTACCGCGCTGAGTCTCGGCTCATTTTCAGGCTGCTCGTTAACAGAACAACTATCCGACATGGCTCTCTGTCTGTGGCCTCGCTGCACTGGCCACCATTCAAGTTCATGATCTGTTTTAAAGTAGTGCTGATCACACTGTACCTGCTCCAGCCCAGGAGTACATTCACAAACTGCTGACTTGTCTTAACAAAGAGAGCTCCCACAAGTCCTAAAACTAGTGGAAATCACTTTTTCTTACATTTCACTAAAAAGCACAAACAGCAGCCTCTTAGTGGAGACAAAGGAAGGTCCTCCTCTGGTGACCATACCATTTCTGTACTAAATTTCTGTGCAATCCATCCAATAGTTGTCGATATTTTGCACAACGTTGGTGAACTGGCTGACTGACTCTATAACTCTAAAATATATAAGCACTCTGTCACTCTTTTATAAATGATTTATTCTCTGAGTGTCCTTTTTTTTTTTCCAGCAAAGCGTTTAACATTTCTCATTGACTTTCTTTGTCTAAAGAAAAGCAGGGGTTTCATCTTCTACCCATCAAATTGTTTTAGTGTCCAAAAGCTCAAAACATGAACCACTGATTAGTCCTGTCTTTTCCCATCAGGCCGAAGCAGTGGGACAAAAACTACCACCGACAACATTCAGCTTCAACCACGTCCAGTGTGTGCTCTACGCTTTGGGGGTCGGCATGTCAACTCGGGATCCCGACCATCTCAGGTGCGATCAATAAATTCATGTGACTAAATGCTCTGTGGAGTCTGAAAGTAACCTGTGTGGAATCAAACCGAAAGAAATGATAATAAGTCTACATACGTCCACATGGAGATAAACTGATATTATCTATAAACGGATAGATGTTTTTTTTTTTAACTCTGTGCTTTGTTACACTTGATTATTTCTCTTAGGTTTCTGTATGAAGGCCATCAAGACTTCGGCTGCCTCCCCACCTTTGGGGTCATTCCTTCCCAGGCAGCCATGATGGAGGGCGGGCTCAGCTCAGTCCCTGGACTCAACATTGATATGACGGGTTCGAAAAAAATACTGTTTTGTCTCTTTCTGTGTTTCTAAACGTGCTCACATTGCTTCATGTTCATTTGCGTGTCTACAGTATACTCCTCATAGAGTATTGCACAGACAGTAAATAATAGAAATAGTTGGTCATGCTGATGAGGCTTGACGACTTGTGTAGGATTATTTATCACAGCTGTTGTAATGTTGTGTGTCAGGTTCTGCATGGAGAGCAGTATCTGGAGCTGTACAAACCTCTACCAACCTCAGGTACTTCCCTCTCCCCTCTGTTAAATGCTTTCAGTTTATTGTCTATGAATACTTAATGTAATCGCTGGAGATGTAACATAATAACAATATAAGGATGGGTTCACATTACTGTAACACATCATATAAAGGGGGTCAGTCTGAGTTTAATAGATAATCACGACTTGACTTTGAATACTTTTTATAAGGCTTTGTGGGCCCTTTTTTTTATGGTTCTCCAGAGAATAAAACTTTATTGAGTCAGTTTACCTCTTTAGCTGTGATAGATTTTTACTGTGTGATTACATCTGTAGTATGTCTGTACTGAGAACAGGACTATCTATAGATCAGTCTGGATCTGGTTGTGCCTCCTGTGTTTTACCACTGCTCTCATCTCAAAGATCCAAGCTTTTCATTTTCCTGTCCCTGACAACCTGTCAAAAACAAAACAGAAGATGGTTTTAATGACACTTGTTGCTGTTTTGTAGACATTTCATTCAGCCTTAAAGGTGACATGTTATGCAAAAATAAACTTTACCATGTTTTCTGAGGGCTTTTTATGCCTTTATTTGAGAGACAGGAAAGTGGATTGAGAGAGAGAGAGTGAAGATGTGGGAAAGGAACCACAGGCTGGATTCGAACCTGGGCCGCCCGCTTTGAGGATTGGAGCCTCTTTACATGGGGCGCCGTGCGAAATAACCACTAGGCCAGCGGCGCCCTGAAACATCATATATTACAACTTCTTTTTTTTTTTTTCAATTACTCAAATGATAATCCATGATATAATTAGTTTTGTTCATTTATTTATTGTTTTTAGCTTGTGTAAAAAATCCAGCAGAAAACTTTGAGAAAAATGATTTTCTTTGTGGACGCAGCTTCAGGTGTTGTTAAATGACCTTGAACTTAATGGTTAATCATGTGAGGCCTACAGTGGGACTAGCTGTGCAGCCTGTTTAGTGATGTTAATGAAGTACAGGATTAAAATTCCAAAAAATCAATTGGGATGTAAATGGTTAAATTCTTTTCTCAGGTAAACTCACCTCGGAGGCCACTATAGCAGACGTGCTGGACAAAGGATCTGGAGCCATCATCCTCCTGGATGGTGAGTTTACACATCTTGTACCCTACTCTGTATTTATTTCATATTAATTTGTTTCCGTCTCTTTTAATGTGACGTTTCCTCTCGGGCTGAATTAATGAAAGTCAATTTACAGAGTGTGTCTGCAGGGATGGAAATAATGGAGGGAAGAATGGCTCCTGTTATTATTTGACAATTCCTTTGAGAAAGAAGATATTAAAACCACTCTGATCTATAATTAATCCGACTTAAAACAAATAACGTGGGACCGGAGGTTCCCGGAGGATCTATTGAGGTGAAAAAAATTTAATTTCTATATTCACAGTCAAGCAGTGTGGTTCTGTTGTTCTCCTGGAGAACCAGAGTGAAGTTGTTTCTGAATGAGACAGCACGTCACACAACGTCCTGCAGAGGCAGCCCTGTTTGCTTTTCATGCCTGGTTATGTTTTGAACTGGCCCTAATGAAATGAACCAGGCCGTACGGCTCGGATTAGATTCTTTGTGACAGCTGCTAATTGTTTCTTCACAGTGTCTTTCCATGTGGGCCGTTCCTCACGCTGGAAATAAACTCTAAATGTTCTGCGATGAGGGAATGTGAATGAAGCAGGTGTTATTTTCACTCTGCTTATTGTTCTACGTAATGTCATGATGTGAAAGTGTGTTGAGTTAAGTTTCATTCAGGTTGACATTAATTACTCCCAACTTATAAATAACAAAATAGGGAAGCAGATCTTACTGGAAAATAAACTGCAGGAGGTTTTTTTTTTTTGACTTCTTTTTAATTTACTGCACTATAAATAAAGAGTCTGCAGGTTTAGAAGAGACATCCACAAATAGTTTTGCTTCTATGAAATAAGGAAGTGAGTAAGGCTGTCACCTCAGCTGTAGTCTGACTGACACCTTCTGTGCTTTCTGCTTTACAGTGAACACCTTCAATGGCGACGAGCTGGTTTGTTATAACCAGTTTTCCGTGTTTGTGGTCGGAGCCGGAGGGTTTGGAGGGAAGAGAACATCCGAGAAAGCCAAAGTGTGTGTTCTGTAAAACTTTAGCTCAAAGAATTTGAACACAATAAGACACCAGGAATAAATAACTGCCTTATTTCTGATGTTTCATTTGTGTTTTTGCTCCCTTCAGGCCGCTCTGCCTCCACCCAATCGAGCACCAGATGCTGTGGTGATTGATTCCACCACGAGAGACCAAGTGAGTGCGCGTCTGTGTGGGTTTCTAAGTTTCAGAATGAATCAGTGGCATTGATGACACGTGGGTGAAAACAGGACATCCTGTTTGGTTTCCTCTTAAATAATCATTGAAGACAAAATGTGGAGAAGTGTTGAACACGGTTTTTCATGCAGTTTTAAAAATGAACACAGACTGTTTGATGCAGCAGAAATGAAACAAGAGATGAGACAAAAAAAAAAAAAAAAAAAAAACGGAATCCCTTGAGCGATTTAAATGACTGCAATTGTATCACTTCAAAGGCATTTTTATTTTAGGTGTCTCCTCTACCGCCCTCATAATAATTTAATGTGATGTGTTTTGAAAAGTTCAGGGCTTTATGAATTAGATATAGATCTAAACAATATCTGTTTCCCCGGTGGTTACAGGCTGCCTTGTACCGTCTGAGCGGAGACTGGAACCCTCTTCATATAGACCCCGACTTCGCAGCCATGGGAGGTAAAAGTCATGTTAGGACCGAATCTTTTCACCGGGATTTAGGGTATGTGATCTCGTTTAACCTTAAACACTCTTTGGTCAGGCTTCAAGGCTCCCATCCTGCACGGCTTGTGCTCGTTCGGCTTCGCTGCGAGACACGTCCTCAAGCAGTTCGCAGACAACGACCCCGCCAGATTCAAGGCTATCAAGGTAAGGTGTGGCTTAAAAACCCTGTCATGCATTTGGTGAGTGATTGAGCCTCCATGTAGAACCTCTCGTACTGTTATTCTGTATTATATTCACATTTTCATAAAATAACTGGTTGACACTACAGGTAACTGTGTTTAAAGCGCCTGTGAGGAGTTATTAGCAAGTTGTGAAAAAGACTGAAATAAATATAGAGTTTCTCTTTATGAGCTTCAAAAGCAAACGAGACCGTCAACACAGAGACTGACTAAATAACTATATTGTTTTCAATCCCTGCAACTGCTGTGCTGGGCAGGTGACAGACGAGGAAAGTAACCACACACTGCCAAAACAGTCTTTGTTACATCTAACATCCAAAGCAGAGAGTCGCCATGAATGATACACTTCATCCTCTGAGGGATGAGGATGCAGTAGGATTTTTGTGATTTGTGTGTAGAAAACAAACAAACAAAAAAACGTCACAATTTTCAGATGAAGAGGACTAAATCAGGAAAGCAATAAGATGTGCTGCTTTGTCCAAGGTGGAACCAAAGTTACTTTGTCTAGCTTGTTTAGTTAAGGGATTGTGATGCCTTAATCTCTAAGAGGTTTGAGTCAAAGTTACAATATATTTATAAAAAAAAAACCTTCTGTACACCGGATCATGTATAATGTGCTTGCATGGCAGCCACATCTACAGTTCTCATTTTTTTGTCACACAATTTCAATTTTTTTTTCCCCACACTGAAATTATAGATGAATATTTCAGCATTTATCAAGCGTGCTTTAGTGAGACACGGTATCATAATGAAATCGTCTCATTCTCAGGTTCGCTTTGTGAAGCCTGTGATGCCGGGTCAGTCCCTGCAGACTGAGATGTGGAAGGAAGGCAACAGAATTCACATCCAGTGCAAAGTCAGTCATTAAAAAACAAAGGAGTGTGGTTTTAAAACATCATGACATCATTTCGCATATACTGTGCTGTGAATGTTGTTGCATATTTCCCGCGATCTCATCGGGGCACTTCCCTTTCTTTCGTGCAGGTGAAGGAGACGGATGCTGTTGTGCTAGCCGGAGCTATGTGGATTTACACGGCTCATCTGAAGCGTCTCCAGAAAATGTCCCTCAAGTAAGTCAGTCTGAAAATACTTCATTCAAACAACAATCAACTCTTTTTTTTTTTTTATGCCTTGAAGCTGGTGACAGCAGTGGCCTGCTTAGGTCCGCTTACTCACGACCTACTGACACCGGAGAATCTAACGCCTCCTGTTAAAGACTGGGGCGTGATCTCCTCTCTCTAATGCAGGCCTACTCTTGCATTTGTTTCGTTTTTAGGGCAATGCATGCTTTTAAATATCATAAATAATCTCGCATTCCAGCCGCAGTTTCCCTTCGGCTGTTGAAGACAGTGCAACTTGCAGAGGCATAGAAACTCAAAGGCAGTAATTCTAGCTTTACTTATTTCAGTTTCAGATACATGTAGCCCTACATCCCTGCACGTTTCACATTCAAAGTGTTATTTTAACAAGTCTGAAAGCAGTCCCCCAGTCATATCTTAAACAGCATTTCTCTTGCGTCGTCCCTCCTGCAGGGAGGAGGCCTTCAGAGTGAGCTGGTGTTCGCAGAGATCGGCCGTCGAATCAAAGACTCGGGCTCTGAGTTGGTGAAGAAGGTGAACGCTGTGTTCGGCTGGGAGATCACTAAAGGTGGAGAGAGCTCTGCACAGTGGAGTAAGTGCACTTCACAAACAGATATAACACACATCACTTAATGTATTCACATTGTGGGGAAGGAATTCAGTGCAGTTCAGATGTAAAGGTTTCATCAAAGGAACTTCTTCTTGCAGTCAGGCTGCATAACAAAACGAATAACCGAGCACACACCTCCACCAAGGCCGGTCTTTTATGAAGTAGCAGACTGTAAGGAAAACCACTTTACATGTCTGGATATGTTTACAAAAGGATGAGAATGATGTGAAAGTGGTGATGTTATGCCGTGATCGTTTTCTAAAGTAGAAATCATTCTCATACTTCTCAAACATCTGTGAAAACCAGAACATCGTCATCGTGTTGACATAAACACAATTCAAACATTTAGACTGAAATATCTTCATGAACCGGCCTCCTTGTTATGAAAAACTGTATGAAGTATATGAGTTTGAGCCACTGTTTTTGCTTGTGCGTGAGAGGGATCCAGATCCAGATCCGACCCACCGCTCCCTCCTCTCCTCACAAAGTTTCATGAAAAGTTGTCCATCAGTTCTTTTTCCCATAATCCTGCTGACAAACAGAAAACAGCGAGGAAAACATAACCCTCTCTCCTGAGGTTATAAAGACAGCAGAGGAAATTAAAAAAAAAAAATGCTGACTCAATGAAAAGGTTCATAATGTGATAGAAGCAAGAAAAAGGGAGATTAGATTAAGTGCAAAACGGTGCAGAGAGCCAACAGGGAGTCTAAGTTATCTCAGAATTAAGAGCATTGATTAATCACAGTGTTGAAATTAAAAACCTGAACCTGCTGCACACGCCATGAGGGAAGGATTGTCAGGCTCCTCGGAAAGGCTTGGTCCACATTTGCTTTGTTGAATCTGAGATTTTTTTTCAGCCTAAAATATCTCACAGAGGAGGCTGAGCTCCACCTGTCATACCGCTCTGTGTTTCAAAGTCGATTCCTGTTTTACCGTTTTAATGAACTCAGCGAGAAGGTCAGGACTGACGCTGTGCTTAAATTGAACACCATGTACCTCCTGTCAAAAGTCAAATCCCATCGCTGCTCAGTGGAGTACTTTTACAAAGTTTGCAGCATTCGGCCCCTTAAGTTTAAAAACCTGTCGATGAACTTTCTACAGCAGCGAAAATCTTCAGTCCAAGGCGATACTCTTCAAGATGTTTTTACAAACCAGTTCAGTCCACTTACTAATGGAGTCTGTTTTTACACTTTATGTGCTCTTGAACAACTTTAACACCGTATACAGTATAGACACCTACGGCTCTGAAAACCTCCAGCTTAAAGCCCCGCTGAGGATTTTCTTTTTTTAATCTGGTTATTTAAACGGGCTGATATTAATACTAATGCTTCCATGTGATCTACAAAAGCAAACAACACCATCATCAAAAACCAGTACTTCAGCATGTATGGAACAAAATCTAAAAAAAAAGATTTATTCCATCTCCTTCCCTGCCTTGACTTCCTCTCCTCCTCTAGCTATCGATCTGAAGAATGGCACCGGCTCTTTGCATAAAGGCCCTTACAGCGGGAAGGCGGATGTGACCTTCACAGTGGCGGATGAAGACTTCATGGAGGTAGTGCAGGGGAAACTCAACCCGCAGAAGGTAACAAACCAGCAGACAGATGTTTCATAATTAGTGATCATTTATTTATCCTCGAAAAACAGTTTTTTTTTTTTTTGTTTTAGTGTTTTACGTTGACATCTGTGAATTTTTAGTCTTATATTTTAAATCTTGTCTCTCTCTCCCGATGCTGAAAGCACTTCTTGTACTCTCTAATTAAAGTTAAAGTGTCTTTAGAGAGCCCTTTAATCTGCTATAACTTCTCCCTTGATCTCTCTGTGTCAGATAAAAACCCCAAAAAACTGTAGTGCGATGATCCATCAAGCAAAGTTCAGAAAGCACTCAGCACGCGGGTAATCAATCGACACTACTTGTTATGTCTGCAGCATCTCATCTGTCACGGGGATCGGCCATCACCGTACAGAATTTATACGCTTCCTGGAGTGCTGGATATTGATCTGAGGGCCTGTATGCGTGCACTCTTTACTATGTGCTTAAGTTCCCTAAGACGGGGTCTATTCAGACGATAAAAGGAGCAGCTGGAGGAAGATTAGTCCGGAGAGATAAAAATAGAAAGAAAGAAAGCGCTTCTGTCATCCAGGGTTATCAAATCACCATCCTGTGATTGATTCCAGCAGAGGAAAGCCATGCACAGTCACACGAGTTCACTTCATAACTGCTGCACTTCTCAGCTCTGAAAGATTTTTGCTTTCCTTTTTTTTTTTTTCTTCTTCTTCCTGCTGGCAAAGCATCAGTTGTCACATATTCCCTTTTAGCGCAAGACCTGGCTTGTTGCTTTTTCATTTGTGCGAAATATCTTGCTGCAGGCATCTTGCCCTCGTCTTACTCCCAGTGTGCTCCAAAACAACTTAACATCCAACCAGAACAGAAATCAGAGGCGACTTTGTGCTTTCTTGGAAAATAAAAAAAGAATCACTCAAGTGTGTCTTTGTTGTTTTGTTAGGCGTTCTTCTCCGGCAAGCTGAAGGTTAGAGGCAACATCATGCTGAGTCAAAAGCTGGAGGTCATCCTGAAGGACTACGCCAAGCTGTGAGCTCCTCAAACAACCAATCAGACGACTCCAGGACTCCACCAGCTCGTCCTCTCTCTCTCTCCATCTGTCCCCTTCTCTCATCCCGCTCTGTGCGCGTCTACTAACATGGTTTTCCTCTCAAGGGAGATACATTGAGAAGTGACCCAGTAACAATAGAACTACTTCAGGATGAATTCTGTCACATAAATGAACAATGTTCATAGTCAAACAATGTACAAAGACTCCTAAATAAGTAAGAGGTGTCACAGATCCAGATGTGCTTTTACGAGGAGGAGGAATCGAGCTTGAAATTAAAAAAAACAGACTTAAGATTTAGCATTTATGTAATTTCAGTTGGTTAAAGTTCACTTTGTCCTTAAGGTCTGTCTTTGCTAAATGTGCACTTAAAACACTTTTTACATTTTAAAGTAACCTTTGGCTTAAGTAGATTAAATTCAGCGTACTTACAAAGTGTCATTTCTTGATACTTGGTGAAATAAATTTCTGCTTAATTATTAGCAACAAGTGTCTAGAGATCCAGCCTCAGTCTGTGTGAATAATGTAGATGGAAGAGAAAATATCGACTCTAAATCAGCTGACCTGAAGTCGTAAATCAATATATTTTAATTATTACGACTAATTCTTCAGCCCGTTCAGCCAGAAACCGTTCAATGCATCTTCTTTTTCTTTTTAAATCTATATCAATGTTGAGTTTGCAAGCTCTAAAAATAATCATTCTCTCATTTTTGAATGTCATTGTAATAAAATCTAACGGTTTCTCTGCTTTGAAAATAAATATTTCTGACTGAAACATTTCTCTGTTTCTTACTTCCTAAAACGTATCATGCCTTTGTGAAGCTTCAAAGCAAACAGCAGATAAAGCTGGAGAGAAACTTGTGAACATGTCCGAGCATTTAGCAACTGAAGAGTCCGATGTAAAGATGGAGACCAAGAACTGAGCAAAAAAAAAATCTAAATCTAGAGGTTGGGACTGAGCTGACCTAATATCAGTATCGGGTCTGATAATGACATCATTTACATGTCGGATATTGGACTGATGTCACCTAAGTAAACATTCTCCACTCCTCAGTCTCGCTTTGAGGACATCAGACTGAACGGCATGCGCTCACAAATGGTCATCACAAGGTTCAGACGAGATGTGATAAAAGGTACAAATCTTCCACTTCAGTTTAAAAGATTTAATTTGAAAAACCTGACAGGTTGTTGCTGCTTCCTGTTTATGTGAAGCCGGCTCAATGCAATGCTGGGTTTCCTCCAGCTTTGTGTAGCCTTACATGTAATACCACCAACACCATTAATTATTTATTTTAAAGTATCTCTAGATAAATCAGAGCTACGTCAGGTGGAAGGAAACATGTTTTGGTCTTTTCTGTGAAACTTTCATGTTTAACAACCACTCAAAGAGATCAGTTGATGAGTATTATATAAGAGAATCACTGAATGTAACAAAACATACCTCGTGTTTCAGGAAATATTTGTTCATTACTAAAATGCTCGACTAAAATCTACAGGTGACACTTTCTTAAATCAAAAGGAACATGCACTCGTTACATCATCTTTTATTACATCATTACATGTTCTGTATATAATACATGGATTTACACGATATCTTCATTATAAAATTAGACTTATCTGATCAAATTCACATTTGCAAGATTCCAGAGGGAAGAAAGGAACAGCTGCATGTGAATGATTTTGTTCATTTGGATTAAGCAAAGAGATTTCATCTGCTCGTGTTAACTGCACTCTGACACACTAATGCTGTTAAAAACAATTGTTCCACGGCATGTCTTTTTTTTTTTGTTTGTTTGTTTTTTTTTAAGCAGCTGCTTCGAGAAAATGTGTGTTTGTCCCCCCGGTTTCTGTAGAAGTAAATACGTTTGAATTTGAAAAAATGATTTTATTCTAAAATTCCTGCAGATGTACACAGAATGTTCCACTTTGATTTGTGGTGGAAACAAAGAAAGTGGCTTTTCAAGCAAACCTCAGGAAAAACATGAGAAAAAACAAAACGTTAAGAGGGAAAGAAAAAAAAGCAGGAGATGAGATGAATCCCGCCTCGTCATCAGTCTATAATCCAATATATGAACTTCTTTCAAACATACACCTTGATTTGTACACATAATGTTCTTCATAAAGTGGCTTTTGTGGTTACCAACTGTTCATCTGCAACTACTTGTTCTGATTATTCAGTCACTGTGAGAAGTTAGTCTATGATTTATATAAATATACACACACACACACACACATCATTGTGATAAATGAGAAGATGAAATCTGAAAGCGTTTCCTCACTTTCTCTCCTCAAATCAAAGCTGAGGTTCCTTTCTTTTCCTACAGCCGCACGCCGTGGCTCTATGGGTTTTCTAGCTTAACAGATTAACCTCCTTCAGACTCAACTTTTATACTTTGAATGAACGCCCTCCTTATTATTGTGGAAGACGAATCATTCTGCACACCAACCAAGAATACAGTGTTCAAGCATCAAATGAAGGCATTGTGCTACATTTGGATGATATGTAAAGAAAGAAATTATCAGGAAAAAAAAAAAAGATTGTTTAATTACTGATGATTATTGCAAAAAAAAGAGCAAGCCTGCAATGTCAAATTAAGAGAACAACAAGGCAAACAATATTATCTCAAAGGCTTGGTTTTAAACCATGGTGCATATGGAAGGTGACTCTATAGTTTAGAGTTCATGAAACGGAAGTGTGTCGTTACTGGAATAAAATGTTTCCACAACAAAATAAGAGTATCCATTAAAATTTGTACAACCGCCCCAACCCCAAATCCCCCTATTCCATTGTCAAGAGCAAAGTTTCCCGCTACATGTCCTGAAGCTTCTTATTACTATACAGCTCAGAAAAACACTACACGGACAGAGAAAGGTATTATTTATGGTGTGCCACATCAACTAGAGCTTAATTTGTGCAACCTAGTGTCAATAATCAATAGAATCAGGACTAATAGTACTTCAGTACTGGCAGAAGTTAGTTTATTTTAAAGATTAAGGACACTTAACATCAATAATACCACCACTGGTTAAATCTATTCACTTATCTTATTACAAAATGTGTTGACTGTTTTACCTCCATCCAGCCTCCTATAGTTATATGCATTACTCTACATATCATTTAGCTTAATGTTTATGTGCAAATAGAGTGAGACATATGGTGCGTTCAGGTAGAAATCAGAGAAAATGTTGGGCACAAACGTCTATTCACGTCCACAATTCCAACAAGCTCGATTAAAGGAACATTTCTAAATAAATTTAGTGGGAAGTTTTCCCCGTTTTTTCGCGTTCGATGAGGAGAGTGACATCACTCCTCCATCAGCCTGATAACTGTCAAGCCTCAGCCAGCCGCCGGTTAGCTTAGCTTGGACTCAAAACAGCTGGCTCTGTTTGTTTAGTCTTTGAGCTGAGCTAGCCAGCTGCTGCCTCCTACTTCACTTTTAAGAGACAAACATGAGGGCACATTTTCTCACACAGCGTCTCCACCTGAAAGCAAAATAACTGAACTATTGCCTTAAAGTTTAAAGTATATGATGTGTTTATCCTTTTACCTGTGTGAGATCTAAGTTTGCTGTGTTCATTCTAAGTCAGGCTGGCTAAGGGCCTCAGACTAACTATAGAACTGGACCTGAAACATAACGCTGATATGAATCTAACCTCCTGTGATTTCTAAAGTGTGGTCCTCTGCTTCTTCCAACCACAGATAAAGACCACCAGTATGTGCTGCAAGTCCTTGTGACGGGGTACGCTGTGCTTTGTGCGATGCTAACTGGCCTTACTGCTTTGTGATGAGCGGGTTCAAATATGTTGCATTGTCCTGTGGTGCGTTCAAAACTCTGCAGGTATTTCTTATTGTCCCTTTACGAGTCGCTGCATGCACAGCCTCCTTTCTTTCATCACCTGAAAATTCCAGCCGTGACTCCACAAGAGCTTTCACCAACACGACGGCTTCAAGGAATATGAACTAAGTGGTGTTTCTTTAGAAGAGAAAAGCCACAGACTCCTCACTATTCTGCAGCTTCGCTTTCTGTGCAAAAACAAAAAAACACTGAGTTTGTTTGAGAGAATCTCCAGTTGGGTTTTTGTGTCTCTTTCAGTTTATTCTGATGGACTGTGCCATCAGTCGTTACCCTGTTCCCACTCCGCCTTTCACCATAGTTTAAAACACTTGAAGAGGCTCTCCTGTGTTTGGTCTGCTTTAAAAATTTGTGTCCCCCTCAAAGCACGGCAGATGTGATCACTTTTGGACCCTTGGATCTTATCACACGCTCTTAGATCTTTAACTCCTTCATTAACAGTTTGATAACACTTCACATTGTTGTTCTGTCACGGCATCATCCCCCCCCCAAAAAAAAAAAGTCAACCCATGATGGCCACGTCTCCAGTCAGGTATTTCCTGCGCTAAGAAACTTTGCCCCTTCATAAACTGCCCTTCACATTATGAAACTGTTTCAACACCTTATGTCTGTCTTTCTATATGATGTACTTGACATCGTTCTTGAGGTTGCTGTGGTTGTTGTTGTTGTGGTTGACAACACTGTAGCGGTTAGGGAGGATCCGCATCTTCATGGTACCGTCGGCCCCGCAGGAGAAGATGTGATTGGCTGGTCCCACCTCGATCTGCATGACGCCCGTGCCGAGGTTCCTGAAGAGCGACTGGCGAGCGTGTTCGTTAGGAAAGTTGTAGAGCGGAGACTGTGTGGCCATGCTCCAAACCTGAGGGGTGAAGGGGGGGGGGGAGGATAAAGTTTATTAAATGATTTTAGAGTTAGCAGAGGTTCTTCCTTCTCTTGGACACTTAACATTTTATTTACACAGCAACCATAAAAATACTGCTGTGCAACTTCATACCATAGGACCATTTTAAATTCTAAAGGTTTTATTATGGCTGTCAAACAATTCAAATGTTGAAAGGTGATTAATAAGAGGTTAATAAAGTAAGGACCTTCTGGACATTAACTGTGAAAAGACAGGACAGTGAAATGTTCCAAGTCATGAGGTGGATATCACTTTTCAATCGATTTTTTTTTTTTTTTTTGAGTGAAATGAGACGTTCAAAGACGCAGCAGTGTCGTTCTTTCCATCACTGTGACTACAGGGAGACACTGAGGAGGCTTATCCACAGTGTGCCTGAAGGGACAAAAGAGCATGATTAACTAGTTAATGCCAACAGGTTTAGTTTTATTCTAATGTTTGTTTGAGTTTAATTCAAAGTTTTGTAAAGGTTACATTTTTGCACAGGTTAAGTATGAATTATTTTACATGTATTTAATGGTTTCTTTGTAGTGCTCTAACATGAATATATGTGGAGCAGCTGACATCTGAACCATTGTTATGTGTCTTCTTGTAAGCTGGCAAAAGCATGTTTTGTAATCGTGAGAAGCTAAATGAGCAACAGTAGGATAAGCAATGAGAAAGGCATGTTAGCTCAGATGAAGTTTGATGCCTGCAGGTGTGAAGGAGAGCTGCTGGGAAGGAAAGGTAATCTGACAAAAAGAGTAGAAGGTATAGAAATAAAGAGATGTCATTGGTGACAATGAGCGAGAGAAAAAAAAAAGACAGTTACAGAGAACGCTCACTGTCAAAGAGTGATACATAATGTTTTCTGGCCTTGAGTGAGAGAGAGAGAGAGAGAGAGAGAGAGAGAGAGCAACGACAATTCTCTTTCTTTTCCTGTTACAAACTTTAAACCAGAATAATCTACATGCATATGATTCATATCTGTCCAATCACAAGCGGTCATCTAATATGAGGAAAGTTTCAATAATGAGTCAACTTTC